ATCATCAATTTTTAGGGAAATTCCCTAAAACTAACCTACGATTTTAAACCGATTTAAACCAAACTAATCGCCGATAATTATAAAACAATTAAAATTAATTTGTTTACCACAAAAACCATTTTCAAGAATTTCAACAATTTAAGAAAATCACCTAAGAAGCTTAATTCTAAATTCATGGTTGATTAGAAATCATAGAAGCAATAAACATTTTTTGCTTCAATTTTAGCTAAGCCAATAATTGATTTTACCTTGATTTAACTTTTTATATCGTCTCGAAATGCGTCAATTTAATTTATAAAATCATCAAGGAAAGTTAGACTTAATTAAAATCTCTTCTAAGTTTATCCAGAAATAGTATTACTTCAAAACATTATAGAAACTTTAAACTGTTTAATCGAGCTTAATCTTAAAGATTATTGTTGGGGTTATTTTTATTAACAAGTTGGTACCACCATAATTGTGCAACATAAATAGCTGACGTCAAGGACTTTTCTATACTACGCGTTTAATATTTTCTTAAAAGGTTACGCAGCCGTCTTGCGATAGATTTAATTCCGTGTTAGTTTTCATAAACAATATCGCGATGCTTTTAACTGTCCCTTAACTACGCCTCAAAAGTGAAGTCGTTATAACCTACTAATTCACGCCATTACCGTGAGGGTGAGGAACGGTCGTTACGAAAGCGATCGGTCCGTCGCTTGTTTGACGACCATTAAGGTAAAGCAGCGACCTCTGCGACGGCCTCTTGCCTAACGACGACGACGAGTTTCGGGGAATTTGCTCTTATTTAGTTTCCCTATCGGCCGCGGCGTGCGCGAAATCAACTACATACCCAACTGACCAACAACTACTTTAGCATAGGGGGTACTTTGAATCGCAACGAATAACGACGCACGTCGTGACGCCTTTTCATTTCGTGACGGTTACACATAAAACATATTCAAAGAACTAACCATCAACTATAAAAAAAAATTAAACCGTCTTTAAGTCTTTCTTAAATCAATATTTTTTTATAACCATCACTTTAATTTAGGTAATGGATGATTAAGAAACGTAAATGTTAAAATGGCTTTGTGTAAACACCTGTTTGGTAGTTCGTCAGTAGTTTTGCATGCATACATATGTCGGAACGTTCGTAGTCAATCGACGACTATTTGAGACCGGCGAAGACGAAAAGGCGTCGCGACGGCACGCGAAACGTCCTGTGAGAAATTTGAACCATTCGAGTGGGTACCTTATCTAATCGTCTTATCGTGGATAAAGACTCGAAAATATCTCGAGGCTGTCGTCAGCTATTTTTTAACCACTTGTTGTTGATTTTTGTTTTAATTGTTTCTATCATGAAAAGCTTTTTCTATCAAGAAAATCTTGTCAATACAAAAAACCTGGAAACATTTGAAACTTTAATTATATTTAGACACTATTATTGGATATACCAATAAATAACCACCGACTTTTTTCACTACGATTTCAATTTATGATAATGAGTCTATACGCCGAATATAAGAAGTGGAGGATGCATATAAGCTTAAAAAAGACAGAATATCACTAGATAATAGTATATACACAAAAATTAATCAACTTGAGGAATTTAAGTATTTGGGAGTAATTATACATAAGAATGGTGTAGGGGAAAGAGAGATAAAACATGAAACTGAAAGCAGGAAAATTATAGGTGGGACAAGAACATAAGAAAAGGAACCAAAGAGAGACTAGGAAGAACACTAGTAGACTCAGTTCTGGGCTATGGTAGTGAGATATAGGTAGTAAATGCAGTTCTAGAAAGACGGCTTCAGGTGGTGGAGATGGACAATTTGAGAAGAAGCGAATGACGAAATTCGAAATAATAAGAGATTTACGGTGGTTTAGACACCTGATGAGGATGGGTTCAATGCGAGAAAAACAACTCAAGGTATAGGATATGCAGGATAGAGAGACTTGGAGAAAGGGATTGAGTAGACAACGCTTAGTTGTAATTTGATATGTAACATTTGTTAATGTGTACTATCTGGCTCAATATATATTACTATTATTAATTAAAAAGGATGCGTAAAGATGAGATATGTGTGGAAGAGATGAAATGATAGATAAGAAATTTGCTAAAATTTGTGTAGATTAATAAGGATTGAGTTAGTACACGTATGTATATGGTTTTGGCAAAATTATATATGATGACCATAAAAGTAGCAAAATACTAATGCTGAATGGTAGAAATGTTGGTTCTAAATCATTTTTACCATGTTCTTTTTAAGCTAAATGATGATTACTGCTTTACAACAAAGATTTTACGATCATTCTACAACATTTTCATAATAGTTCATTAATCACGATCAAAACTTTTTTGTTCGAAAGCTTTTTGTATATGTTATATTCAAGTTGTGTACTAAAGAGTGATATTACGCAATGACTTTTTATAGTCCTGGTAAGTTGAAGAACAAGTTGTAACCGCATAGATCGTTTTTGACAAATTGCGCGCAAAACATCAATCCGATGTTTAATGCGTAGGATAGTTTATTTGAATTGGAACGTAAATGTAGTAAAATTATTAAAAATGGGTGAAAAATGAGGATGGCGTCGAAGCCAGATTGGGAAAAAATCACGATTTTTTTAACCTTGGTTTTGATCTTTTCACGTAAATACGAACGCATAATTCAGGGTCATTTCTGGGGAAGGAAAAATAAAGTGTTTTGGAAATCTTTAGCAATAATTACTGAAGATGGAAACGGTAACCCAAGCGATTACTTAACAAAAATTGCTTATGAAATAATTTCATCTTGTAAAGCAACATATAATTGTAATGTAAAGTCATTTCTGACGAATATACGCAATATGAGAAGACAAATCAGAAGCTTAAGCTTTTTGCAAAGAGCTTGAAGTAATTAAAGTCAAAGAGCATGTGATTCAAATTGTGAAATATTTGAGAAATAATCACCTGGCTAGATCTAAGTATATGGCTTGTATATACTGATGGAAAAGTTTTAAACGATGTGAGGTGGATTGTCCACAAGTACATTTAAGTCAATGGGAAAAACTGTCAAAAGTATGTGAAGAAAAGAAAGGAAAAAAATTCCAAATAATATACCAAAAAGTATCTAATATTGATCTCAAACGAAGATCAAAACATTACTTAACTATCTTAAAACCAATATCCCAGGGATTTGACAAATTGCAAAAAAGGTGCTTCTCTACATGAAGGACTCTAGGAAAGACGAATAGGAAGTTCAATTAACGAAAAATTGGAATTATCACTGTCTCAAAAACAAGTTTATCAGAAATTACGCCTTACCATTTAATTGTATTTAACACTAAGGGATATGTACGCTAATACTGGATTACTACCACTAATAGTTAAGTTAGAAGCGAAAATGGAACAATTTTCTGCAAAAAAGTTATATCTAGATTTCACAAAATAACCTTCCTGATATTGAGAAACTTCTTCCAACATTAAAACAATTTATATGTGTTGTTTGTTCTTCAACTTCAATAGAGAGGGGTCTTCACAACATTTAGGTTCGTCCACACCAATGTGTGTAACAAATCAAGTGATTTAAATCGGACGAACCATGGTCGAAAGTAATGCTAAGTGATGGAAATGTTGAATCTAATGATTATAGCTGCTGAAGCAGTTTTGAGTAAAAACAAAGACTTTACTATCATTCCACAACATTTTCATAATAGTTAATTAACCAAATATGTCAAAAAAATGTTTTTCAATAAATATGAATGACATGATATTGTGAGTGTTGTATGTGGTGATTTTTACTATTTTTTTTTAATTCCACCTTTCTTGATTGGACCAAGGGACATTACAAAACATTCTCATTGAGTAATAACAAAGACTATACTATCATTCATAATAGCTGATTAATCAAATATGTCAAAAAAAAGTTTTTATTTGAAAACTTTTCGTAAAGACTATACTTAAGTTGTTATAGTCCTGGTAAGTTGAAAAACAAGTTGTAGCCGCATCAAAAAACATCAATCCGATGTAGCGTTTAGGAAACTTATTTGAATGATAACGAATGTACTAGAATGTGTGTACGATGAATAAGAATTAAGAATGGTTTTATAACGGTTTTGGCAAAATTACGTATGATGATGACCGTAAAAGTAGCAAAATCATTAAAGATGGGTGAAAAATGAGGTTGGCGTCGAAACTAATGTTAAATGATAGAAGTATTGGATCATTCTCTTTACTATCATTCCATAACATTTTCATAATAGTTTATTAATCAAGTAATATGTCAAAAAAAATTTTTTTTGTTCGAAAACTTTTTGTAAACATTATACTGAAGTTGTGTACTAAAGCGTGATATTACGCAATGACTTTTTATAGTCCTGGTAAGTTGAAAAACAAGTTGTACCCGCATAGGTCGTTTTTGACAAAGTGCGCGCAAAACATCAATCCGATGTTTAGCGCTTAGGAAAGTTTATTTGCGTAGTTAGCGCGCGCGATTTAAAAAAAAACCGCTGGTACACAGCCGAAAATAATTTCGGTACGTGGTCGTGATAAAATTATATCTACACGCGTTGTGTTATATTATTAAATGCGGTTCGTTCGTTGGGAATATTTTCTGCCAAGTTTTCGTTTCGAGAACGAGCGTCGACCGACGAACGAACGACGCCGCTACACTCTCCCCACCTCTCGGAGCGGAGCGTAACCGCTCGCTCACTATTTTAAAATATAAGTAAGTTGACCGTGTGGAAAAAACTTTATAGAGGTCCTCGAATGATAAAATTCATTATTAGAATGATATTGTAAAGATTAACTTGATAAATTTATATTTGAAATTGAACGATAATTTGAAATAATCGCTGTAAAATAGAAAAATTTGAAAACGAAAGAAAATTATTTTTGTTAGCGTATACTGAAAATAATACGAGTACGAACGAACTGCGCCAGCATATTTCTAGAGAACCTAACCTTTCTGTTAAATGCAGGTGGGGCGAAGCGGTCCGATCTGAACCGATGTTTCACGAACGCGCACAGACCGGTCTTGAGCGCGGTCGGGCTTTAGACCGTATACTGCTCTGTCGCACGATAGTTGATGTCCCGTGTGAGTGACAGTGGATACTTCATGTGACATGTTGCACCACGCAACAATGACTACCCGAAGCCTCAACTAATCATGTGGTTTGAATCGCAGGTAAGCAATTTTTGATACATCTCGGTTCGTCCTAAATTTACCCTAAAAATAATCGGCTCGCTCGGGAGCCCCGATTTGCCCGTTTTAAACATAGAAGATCCGTCCGAAACCGACACGGATCCGTTGTGGAACGTTCTCGGAACCCTCTCGAACGGAAATCTACGCAAAACTTAACAGTTTTCATTTAGAAACAAACACTTCTTCGCTACACGTGACAACTGTCAAACTCGAGCTCGTTACCTATGCTATCTCCGCATGTGTTTTGTTTTGAAACGCGGGATCGCAGTGCATTGAAATGGTTTTGTGCCCAGTCGACCAAACGAAATAATGCGCGTCGCCTTATCGACGCTATGCGCACAACTTCGAACCCTCGCTTTGGCCGACTATACATTTGTCTTGCGACCGAAGACGAACGATGGTGGTGGGGGAAGGCGCCAGTCAACTGTTTACGATTCCCAGCGCTTACCGCGATTTTCCAGTTTTTGAAAATTTTTCTGAAAAACTTTATTAAATTCATATTAATTTTAAGCTTTTCATATTTTTCAAATCTCTATATATATATATATATGTTTTTTTTTTTTTTTTAATTTACTAATTCATATCTATAAACGCTTACGTACTATACACAGTCGTAGATAAGATACCGAACGAGGATCGTCTCGGAAAAATAAAATAAGCTTCGCGTCTCCTTTCAAAACTTTGTGCGTTTTCCGCCAAAACGAGGCGCTTTCGGCTTCTTGAGGTTGCCATGGTGACGACCCGGCGTAGGTGGAACCTATTCGTAGCTGACTCGAGCGGCACATGTTTTCAGATCACCGTCGTGGACGGAAAGCCCCCAATGTGAATGTCTATGTACTAAGATGACGCTTACTCGGGCTATATATCCTGGATCGTTCCAGTCATATACAGGGTGATTCATAAATTTGTGAATCAATTTCAATCTTGTTTTGGAGGGAAATTTTATTTATTTTATGATTTGTTGTTATTACAAACATTTTATTTGACCAATCAATTCAAAAACCGGGTTTCTCGCTTATTGGGACAAACTTACTGTAAATTATAATGATCGATGGAAAAAATCCCATGTAACAGAACTTCTGATCAAGACCTCACATTGCCTTATGTATTCTAGTAACATAAAATCGTGTTGTGATAATACACGATGTTGGTGGTGGGGGGGATGGTTTAGTTGAAGTCCGCGGCATGCTCTCCTGACAAACGGGGTGGCTAATTGACGCAACTGCTCCGAAACTCGCCGCGAAGTTCATTGAGAGCAGCACACCGGCTGCGTAGGGGGAATGCGAGGGGATAGGAGGGCGCGTAGTAGTAAGTAGTAAACAGAAGTTGAGCGAGCGGGTGCATGCATGCATGCACGAGAGGCGCGCGCTTTGCACGTACATATATCCCCGGAATACGTTTCGTATCTTTTGTCGCGCCGGAATTTCATTCACAAGCCGTCGAGGCACGGCGAAGAACGCAAACGTAACCCCTCCACCACCCCCACGGCGGGGGTTTCCCTTCGGGGTCGTCGCCTTCTCATCCTTTTCGATTGTGAGCGGTGTGCATAGATGGGTATGTCAATTCTCCACTTGCCACTATAAACTGGTGGAATAAATCGAAATTGTCTTTCAAGTATCGTTTGAATTATATAGGGCAATAGTGTCACTACAATAATTGTATAATGAAGTTTATATTATCATAATCATGGTGATTTCACCACCAGTTTCGATCGCGACATTACCGGCCGGAACACGAAGGAGTATCGTTCGTCTCATTCATCGGGGCGGGCCTTGGGTCAGGTCAGTGTCGACTTTGATCCCGGTGATTGATGGAAGCCGCCGCCGGATCGCCGATTTATGAGATGTTTTTTATTATCGCCAGCCGGGGTCTTTATTTACCTCCCGCCACTGTCAGGGACCCGGTAGTAGTAGTAGTAAACAAACTGTACGCACTCGATTTGTGCGAGTTTCGTAGTCATTACGTCATACGCGAAACGAGGAGGGAAAAAAAGAAGCGAAATGTAATTAGACTGCTGACCCAGTCGCGCCGCTGACATCGTAATAGTCCGTTCGTTGTAATCGCAGGAACTCAATTTGTTGTCATTTCACTCTTTTTTTCCTTTTAAATGTTGAATCCACGTTAGTCATGAAACTGGTTTTGAAAATTCTATGGTGACTCAAAGATAGTTCATTAACATTACAAAGATCACCTCTACAAAGAGAACTTATCAGTTTTAATAATAAATCCAGAAAAGTGTTAGTTTGTAATTTTTTAACATTCCATTGCAAGAAATCCGATTGCAACATGTTAAGTCCCAAGTTCACTTCAATTTACTATTCTTTTCGTATTCGAGTCTCATTGAGGCCATGGCCAACTTCGCCGTCCGTGTACCGCTAGACACAACCTCTCTCTTTTGTGCTTTTCAACATTTTCCAAATCTCTTTTACTAAAAATACTTCCATATATAGTATGTAGAAGAAAAAAAAATGATTCGTGGATGGGAATTCCTAAGCTTAGAGACTAAAAAGAATACTTCGTATTAATCTTATTAAAAACAAATTCGAAAGGTTTGAAAATTTTCCATTACGCGAGGCGTACTCTAGCGGTGAGTCGAACAATCGAAGCAGCTGTCATGTGAACCGAGAGAGGCAGCTTGGAAAGCCACGTGGTGTGGACGTCCAACATCCAACTCGGTCGAGCAGACGACTATCGGCCTTACGATAATAGCAGCCGCATCATCCCGACCAAAGTTATTTTTAGGTTATGAGTCTCGACGCTAACGGGCAATGAAATTTCGTTTCTCTTCGAAGCCCGTAGATGCGGGCCACCCAATCAACCGCAATTAGCAAAACGCAGTAATTCCCCCCGTACTTTGTTATCTACTCGTCGTCGTCAATCCGAATGCGGACGATCGAAAATCCCATGAAATAACAACAAAAACAACGTGTAGAAATCGATCCGGGGCGCTGCTGCTGTTGGAACTTTTTTGCGCTACGACGACGTCGGATTCGAGCGAGGAGGAAGAACAGGAAAGCTGAAATAGGCGACCATCTGCGCACTGCGCGCAACGTCTCTCTCTACACGGTTGAGAATCGCTCGCCTCGCGCATAAAACAATTGTGAAACGCCGTTCCCCTGCTCGGGCCCCACGGCACGCCGCGAGATAAGAGAAAACGAGGCGGCGTTTGCCTTGCTCAGTCGGCCGCTGGATGGCGACGCGATCGCTTCCGAACTCAGCCGATCATAAGATCGTAGAAACGTTGTATAGGAAAAAAACAACTGCCAATCTGTCACTGCCGTCTATGATGTCGAGAGGCGCTGTGGAACGTCACGTGACCTCTCACTAACTCACTTGTTTGAATGCGTACACGTGGATTGGAGCTTGATGTACAAACACGCATATTGATAATATGATTTGAAAATATGTTGCTCAATTTGGAAAATTTTTTAGTAAATACTAAATAAACTTTTTGTGACGAATTAGTAAGCATTGGAACAATGGCTCTAATTATTACTTTATACAAGTTCTAAGGTTTTATGTTATAACGTAAATGTTTATAAATTCTTTATGCTTCGTTAGCTCTTTTATAAAACAACCCATTTTGTTTTCATGGCGGTAGACCAAATATAATTTTATATGTGTAATTTTCATTTCGGACAAATTGATCATCATCAGGATGATTAAATGATAAAAAATCAAATTAGTAAAGCAATTACAAAAAGTGAGGTTATGTGATAACCGCGTCAATTAACATCGGAAATTTTTGAAGTTGATTAATCGCAATCTCCCTTAGTTTTTAGGGATACTTTTACAATCTTTTTTTGTGTCTATCTTTTTGTATGGTGAAATAGACGTAAATGGGGAACTTCATTCTATCCACATAGTCTAACTGTGGTATGTTGGTTGTTTAATGTTTCTGTTCTATTCCGTTTTCCACAGTTGGAGGGTTCGGCAGTATTGATATCGGATATTTTGGAGCGAGTAGGCGTAGCTGCGCAGAACATAGACGCAAAAGCGGCGTCGCTACGCCGACGTCGTCATGTACACTTTGAAAAATCCAAAAACCACGCTTTCGAAAGGATGTGGTGGTCGTCTAGCTTTTTTCCAGAGGGATCGTAGCGTTTTTCGAGGACTACGTCGAAAGCGCCTTATTATTTTTCTCGTCCGATAGACGCTAAATAAATTAGAATCGCGACGACCGCGCGGCGGCGTTACTGGCGCCGACGCGGCGTTGGTGGGGGGACGCCGACATCGCCATTGGACGGTTGCCATGGCGACGCGCCTACTCGCAAAAACAAAATCCGGCCCTGGCCCGCTAGATTTTCTCCGTTCGAAACGTTCTACACGTACGGAGCGCGCTTTCCTCCTTCTTTTTTTCTTTTTTTTTACGTAATTACTTTTCGTTTATCTTTCGTGCGACGTGGGAGACGTTTTTGCCGCGGAGGGGAAGGATAGAGGGCGCTCCGAATATATTTTCGGACTCACTCTACGACGACGCTGTCGTTCCTCCTTCTCGTACACGAATGGATTAATACATCGAAAATAACAACCCGTGGCTATTGAGAAAAACTTTTTTATTATTCACTTCGACTTTAACCTTTTTTTATTAGAATATGTCATCAAATATATTGCAGCTAATCGCAACTTCTCTATATAAATAAAAATCATATTGTTTATGAGAATCGATTACATATTATATATATTTTTTTTCTTGTTAGTCAGCATTACAGAGAACGTTGTTATCGACCGCTGAAATCCATAACCTATTTTTACACAGTACACAGAGCGGTAATCGATAATATTAGTGACGTAATGTTGGTTCAAAAATTTAAATAAATATAAACGAGTACAATGAGAAGAGGGTTGATTCGATATTTTTCTGAAGATTCGAAATATGACGAAAAACAACGGAAAACTTTATTAATTTATGGAAGGAGCGTCTCGTGGAAAATTTCCACGGCTGGCAACCCTCCGCGCATAAAGCGCATGCGCTTATTTTACTCCTCCCTCTTTGCTTTCGTGGGTTTCTGCTACCCTTATCTCCGTCGGTAGTCCCCAAACTGTGGAGCCTCTTCATCGTGGCGGATCGGAGGGCCGTAAAAACGGTTATTGCCGGAGTTTTTGTTTTGTGTCTTGAAAAAAGTTTTTCCGGCACGAAATTGAATCTTAGTCGTCTACCGTTTTAGTTTTATGGACAACATGAAAACGCCAAATGAATCCCTTCTATACAAGACTAAAATGGCTTTTTAATTACTATGATGAAGAAACTATGAATTTAATATTTTATGACAATCTTGTAAATAAATAAACTTAATTCAAACAACTTATTAATGACTCCATCATTCAAAATCTACTGGAGGGTGAAAAGATCTTCAATCCCTTGTGATTATAAGGGCGAACTGTGTAGTTCAAAAACAGGAAACAGAAGTCGGGAGGGGTTCCCTTTTTGAGAACCCCTGTACGATTTAGAGATAGAGGACGTCGGTAGAGAGAGGAAGGGGGCGCTGTCGGGGAAAAGGGGGCGCGGACCCCTCGTAACCGACTGCCGGGAGGGCTGTCACCCCAACCAGGGCCCCGGACCTGGGCCCCAAATGTTAATCCCTCTCCGCTGCTCCCTCTCGTCCCTTATCCGCCACCGCCGCCCCCTTTTCCCGTCGCGCGTTTCCCTCCCCGTTCGACCCCTTTCGCGCGCGCTCTCTCCCCCTTTTCACCCCTCCCGCTCTTCGCAGCCCCGTAATGAAAATACTGTATTTTAGCTTTGACTCATTTCGAAATTCATCCCTCGCCCAGAGTTCTGGGGACGCGTTCTAAAATGTATTTTATTTCTGTAATTCGTAAAAAGACACCGCACCCCCATCCAGAAACTGGGGGGCGCTCTACGTAATTCGAGAAATAGAAAGGAGGGGTGGATTAGGAAAAATAAGTTTTTGTTTGATGGATAGTTCTTTGTTGCCTATGCATATATTTAATTTTCAAAAATTATTTGGATATTTATTCGAATAGGTGTAAATTTATATTATCCATAGATAATTTTGAAGTCATTATAGATCGTTTAGTTCGGTTAAACTCAAATTACGAATTGGTTTCTACGAGTTTAACGCATGATTAATTTCGTATCATCCCTCAATTAGCTCATTTAAGATAAATGTTCCGCTGAAATTTCTCTTGGAACTTTTAAAAAGTAAAACTGGTTTTTGAATTTTTTTTTGGGTCTGAAAAGGAAAAAGGCTGATTGTTGCTATTTTCGAGCAACCCCTATATTTCCTGGTGTGGCATATGGCCTGGGGATTGGGAAGAAGAGGGATCCTTTTTTTTTTTGAATGACACTCCGTATGGGCCGAGGCAGTCAACAACTGTCGTCGTCCTCGACGCCTGAGGACGACGTCCCGCTGAGAACGCTTCAGAAGCGGGTAGAAAAGGGACAAAAAATGTTTTCGGATCCCAGATGCCTATGCGGGCCTCGGTCTTCTCTCGAAAATTACCTGTAGCCTTCTCTCCTCTTTTGACCGTCTCCTCCTTACCTGTGGCTTCAGGTAGAAGATTTTTTTTGATACGCCGCTTTTACAGTCGCCGGTTTGGGATTTGAGTAGGTTTTGGGGTACACTTATAATTTTTCTTATAATTTTATAAAACCGTTACATCATTAGGGTTTTTCAGAAAGTTTTCAGAAAAGCCCAATTTTATAAAATTAAAAAGTGAATAAAATTATAATAAAAAGAATAAATTTCTATATTAAAATATTTTCTCATCGTTATCAGAAAATCTCTCCAGGAAACTAAGACTTCATCGTTTTATATATAAATGAAGAAAAAGAGTTGTTGGGGGACCTGTACGTTTCGGTTGGTTGAGTCTTCGTCGTGCGAGAGAGAGAAAGAGAAAAGGGGGGTCGTCGGTCTCCCTTTGGTTAAAAGAAGAAACGTAGTTCGGTGTTAAAGGCAAAAGACGACGAACGAAAGAACGAAACGAACGCTGGCTGCTTCGTTATAGAGCTATAGATAATTTCACAAGGTGTGCTGGAATAAGCAAGCTAACCTTGGACGGTTTCTCAGGCGGAGTGAGCGGCCTTCGGTCGACCGGACATCGCATCGCAGTCTCGGGCCACCGGCAGGAAAACAACTCCGAATAGAAAGCTGCGCCATTATATAAAGCCGTGGCAGCTAAATCCAAGTCTCTTTCGTTGTTGTTGTTGGTACAAGGCGGCCCACTCTACTCTCTAGAACGACTTTTGCCGTTTCGTTCGTTCCTCGGAATCACATTACGTTGATTTCGTTGTTTATTAGAAAATCAATCATGAGATTAATTTCTACTTTTATTATTTATTCGCATATATTAATTCGCTTTTTAGTACGTTTTATTAACATGAGTTTAACGATCTTTTGGAATATTAATCTATATTAGAATTTACTAGTTTTACTTGATAACATTGTGGTTGATAAGCTATAAATAACACTTCTAAATTATTGTTAATTGAAGTTCTACGTCCATTTTTGAAACATTTCAATAACATAAAGTAAATGTTATTGATCCTCAAACGACTTAGTTAACATGAGTTACCAAGGAATGTGTAATGGTTAAGAATTCAAAGGATTATTTTTAATATAATAAAGGAAGAAGATAGAGATCATGAATTTGGTTCTAGATACAAACCCTCTCTTTACCTTGGGAACAACTATATGCTTGGACCGCACAATTAATTGCTGGCGTTTATATCTTTAGGTTTTTAACCATTAAATATGGACTTACAACAGTTATTTAGCATAAACATGTAACACCAAAATACTTTAGTGACACAAAAATCACCAAATACTAAATCGAAAATTTTATGCCTATTTCAAACTGCTTATATCAAACCTTATTTCCTTGAGAAGTTTCATCTTAAGTTGATTTCAGAGTTTTTGAAAGTTTTTAATCAATAAAGAACAAATTAATTAACGCTGAAATCCGCGAAATCGATATCAGCTTAATAGCTGTAATAGAATAATAAACACACTGTGTAACGCAAATAATTACTCGAATTTAGATCTAACGTCAATTGGGAAAAGCTAATAATTATTATATCATTTGTAATGACTGACCAGTTTTCTAGGGTGTTATGCTAATGAGGTTGAAGTAATTATTTTTGGTTTTTTTTTTAGAATTGTGCCATGATGGGTTTGCAGGCGACAACAGGAAAACGCAAGTTAGAAGCAGCAACAGCCCCCGGTGAGTCAAGTCCAGCAAAGTCAGGACGATGGGAAGTGGAAGATTGTATAGCAAGGCTACAAGCGGTGGCCGTACCGAGCGACCCGTGGCGTTCACCAACGCCAGCATTGGCGGCCACCCTCCTTTCCAACGACGACTTCGACGACGAAGACGAATTCGACGACGAGCTTTCGGACGATGGTACCAGCGTACCAGATCCGGCCCATTACAATGCTCAGCAACCAACCCCAGCCCCGTACCATCGATACCATCACCATCATCCGACCAACGATTACTACCATCAGTACTACCAACCTCCGCAACAAACGATACGTTGCGAGGAAAACGGAAAATCGTACCTGGAGCTGGGCGCTTCGCCTCCGATTAGGACGCGGTGCTGTGACGGTAGGACGCATTGGTGTCATGTGCCCTGCTACCGTCAGCGGCGGCTCGCTGTGTTGAACCTTTCGATGTGCAAACTGGCGCGGTTTAGACAGTGCACGGACCCGTCGTTACGACGATCGGTGCTCATTTGCAACACCCTGAGGAAAATCGAGCGCGAGATGGAATCCGAACCACCCGAACCATCTTCCTGCTATCAAACCCTTCCCGAGATGACGCCGCCGAGTCGACTATGTCCCGTACCCGAAGTTAATCTATACGAACAAAGTTTAAGGGAAATGACTTCTCAATCTGGACGGGCAACACCTTTTCCACAAAATACAACTGATACAGATTCAGGAATAGGTAAGAATCAAATAATTTACTTTTTAAAAATAACTTGTAAAGTAAAAAATGTTACATTTGAATTACTTATATCAATAAAAAACAGTTTTTTAAACTAGATTTGATTCAGTAATGCTAACATACTACAACAAAGATATGCTATGATATGCTATGTTTGATTTCCAAGTTCTAAGCGCTTAACGCTGTAAATAATGTATCTAAAAGCTTTATATGCTAACAAATCAGTCCATATACTAATGAAAATAAAACATTAAAAATTACATGTAAAAGAATATCCAAAAGAATTCTCCATAAATTTATCATCGTTTATTTTCACATTACGAGGGGTAATAACTACTAATGAGATACTAATAATAATAGTGGTTTTAAGAATACTTGTCCTTTTTTCATTATTTAAGAAAAATTATAAGAAAATCAATGCATTATGTGTTGCCTAACCGATTGATAGATTATTTAATAAAAGTAATTTAACATTTTCTAATTAAAGATTTAAACATTAATTCACTTTAAATTGTTAGTGTTTATTATTTATAATACTAAATATAAAAATGAGTATGAAAAAAGTAAAAATTTAAAAATTTGAATTATTTGTGCGCCATCTAATGTTTCTTAAACAAACTACTAAACGTCCTTTCATTTTTAATAATTAATTTTTATGTATATTAATTATTTGTAATATAAAGGTAATTAAATCGATATCGAAAAATAGAATTTTTTGATTTAAATAAATATATAATTCGTTATTTCTATATGAAGATAAAGTTTTTTTACGTACGCCATCTGTCGTTTTATGAACAAACTCCCACGCGTTATTTATTTAAGATTTTTAACATTTTCTATATTTTTTTTAGCTTTTTATTTATGAACGTATTTAGTTATTGCGCAATCAATACAATTGTGTATAAAAAAGTTATTAAGCGGAGTTATTAAATTTAAAACTAAACGTCAATTCATAAAATATGAAAACACACAATACACAATTTAAAATTTTTTGATATTCAAACTTTTTATTTATTTATGTACTCACAATATTTATTATAAAATTATTCAATCAAAAAAAATGATTTAGTAAAATGAAGTTTTTTAATTCAATGATAAATATTCAACAATTTAATGCTGAATAACAACTAAAACTAGAACTAACACTATTAATATTAGACCTAGAGAAGTACAGCTAAATCTGAATTTTTCTAGTTCTAGGTCTAGTTTTAATTGTTATTAAGCGCTAGATATTCTAGATTCGAAGAGAATACCTTCGAATTGATTAATAATTTTTTTTTAATTTTGTAAATTTCTTCTTTATGGCACATTACTCACCCCATCTAGCGGCAACCACCTATAATATTAAATAGTATCTTTGACAGTTTAAAATCGCCGTTTGTATTTCTTCCTAAAATAGTGAATTTTTAAAAAGATAAAGAAAATGAAGAGAAATTTTTAAAAGAAAAATGTTATTGAATCAAATCAACCCATCAAAATACATTTTTGGACACACATACTATTTATTTAAAGTGATTAAAGTTCTTGGTAGAAATTATTCTCAAATTTGTAAGTAAAGAAAACATAACCTCCCGTCAATTTGAACTATTTGCGGATTTAAATAAACAGGGGTGTTTATTAAAACAAAAATACAGTAAGTCGATTTTTTCTAAGCATAAAGTGTTTATTTATGAGTTGTGTTTGGAAACAACATTGATAATTAATTTTTTTTCTCAATTTTTTATATCTGTTAGTCACCCCATCTAGCGGCAATCATATCAAGCTATATTAATAGTATTTTTGACAGTTTACAATCTTCGCTTGCGATTCTTTTTAAAATAGTGAAATTTTACAATTAAAAAGTGTTATTGAATCAAATCAACTCATCAAAGTACGTTTTTGGACTTTTCATACTGTTTACTGAAAATGATTTAATTCGGATTTAGCCGTTTTAAGAGAGACATACGGCTAAACCCGAATGTTTCTAGTTCTAGGACTAGTGTTAGTTCTACTTTTAGTAGAAGGAGAGGATTTATGGTTAGTTCTAGTTTTAGTTCAATGATAAATATACAACAATCTAGCACGGAATAGCAATTAAAACAAGAAATCTTCTCTGGGAATACCCCAAGTTTATCTATGAACTGGGAATAGGAACAATTTGAGGAATGACCTAAGTTGGATTCTACCTAAGATAGAACTTTTTCATTTTTCAGGTGATGATGAAACAACTAGACCTATAAATTGGAGTTCTGTCCTAAATTTAACCTCACAAACAGACCTCGAGTCTTTGAACAACAATGATCTGTACGCCGAGTTGGGACTCGGCGGAGATACTCAGGAATGGTCGGCGTCCAGCGGAAGTCATCTGATGACGACGACGACGACGTCCACGACGATGGTAACGACGCCGAGTCGACAGGAGTACGAATGGGATGGTTTTATACAGGTCCTAGTAGGTGGCTCGTAGCGCCAGCCGTTTTAGAGCTATTCAGCTCTCCACTCAGGTTGTGATTTAACTTAATATTACATACTAAAAAAAGACTAGTGCAGTACAGGAATTGTGCAGCTAATTGTTGACTGTTTTTATTTTTATAACGTTTTTTACGGTAGAAGGAACGGTCGGTCATATTTGATGGTCACTTTAACACATTGTGTGTGTAACGCACTCGATGATTTAAAAAGAAACCCAAGAAACCTTTTAATCCATTTAAGCATTAGATTTTTTTAAGAAATTCTGGTGCACTGGTGCTACGAGACGCATTTTTCTTTAACTTTTTTTGGTTCTTTATTTTAATTTTTGTTTCACTCTCTGATCTCTAATTATTATTGTTTTTGTTTATAATCCTTAGATTACACTTTTTAAATAATCTTAATTTGAATATAAAAGTGTTTTACTCAAATATTTTTTTACATTAAAAAAATTTACACTTTTGTAATCAAATTCAAACAATTCTTTTTAATTTTATACTTTAAAAATACTCTTTGAAACTAAAAAATAAACAGAAATTACAGTAGTAGTAAAATGGCTGTGTTTTTGTATAAAAAAATTTTAAAAAAACCCAAAAAAAATTTATTAAAATTAATTAATCTAAGGGTTATAAACATTTTTCTTTGTTTTAATTTAAATCTTAAATGAGTAATAATTTTTTTGTACCGTAAAACCCGCTCAAACTTGGAAGATGATATTTAAAAATAGTGGTGTTACTTGACCCATCCTGGGCATTCCTGTTGTACATAATACTGTAAAAAAAGTGAGAGAGATTTGTAAAAGTTGTAAATAAGAGAAATGGAAGAAGTAAAAAAACACTTAATAGGCTATATATATATGTATATAAATCTATATGTTACGATATATATTTTAAATTGTGTGAATTTTATCGTTACGGTAAAAAACGAAAGAGAGAGTAATGAAGATTATACAAGTTAAAACAATTAATGAAAATCATTTTTTTTTTCGAGGAAAATCTGCGAACAGTACCCCCTACTTTTTACTCCCAAGCTGCCAAAATCTTTGTTGTCTTATAGCTTAAATGAAAAAAAAAGTTTTGTTTTAAATAATAATGTAATGTCTTCCGTAAGTCAACATTGTGTTCCTGAACTTAATTTTTTTGTCACACTATTTTTGTAAGATTTTTTTAAGGTCGATAAATACTTACAACAATCCTAAAAAATAATGTTCCAATACTTGATCGATTTAAATAACACAAAATTAAATTAGAAGTGATCCTTTAATACCATTGAAATTAAAGTTTAACAAAAAATGTAATGGTCATATTTCAAATACAGTTATTATTTTATACTTTTGATGTTTATGTTAAATTTCGTTTATATTAAAATAGTAATTTGATTATATTTTAGGAAATTTAGATTGTTTAAAAAAACGAAAATAAGTACTTTGTACATAAAGTAAGGAATAAATTCGATTAAAATTCGCGGAATATGCGGACAAAAAAATCCTCAAACAACCAAAAGAAACCATTTTGAAACGGCATATGGAGTTGATTATAAAGCTCAAAAAATGGTTCAACAATATGAAGAGAAACAAGTACTCTAGAAGTTGAAACTTACACAGTAACTGTATTAATCAATCATCAGTAGAAAGTGGAGAACCAGTGTTGGTGAAGTTAGTTTCATCAAATTTTAGTTCGTTAGAACGGGATTTATGCAAAAAGAGGAACGAAGGGAATTTGATACAAATTTAAAACGGTGGTAAAAACAACGAAGGAAGATATTTATATATACAGGAGTTTCTAAATTGATACGAAAGATTTCAAGGGTGATCTTTTTGTTCAAAACCCCTCCTTATCCAAGTTATAGCCCTCTAAAGTTAAGGGAAAAAATCTGCAACTTTCTTGTCTCTTGACATTTTACAACTAACAAATTGTTAGTTTGATCAAAAAATAAAATAATGCTGAGATTACAATTTGACATAACTTCATTTCTTTGAACCAATCTCTGAATTAATTCACTTGAACCTATTTTTTTGTAATCAAACTAACAATTTTAGAAGAAAATGTTAAGACACAAATAAGTTGCATATTGAATCCCTCTATTTAAATCAAAAAGTTTTTAAATAGCAAAATGTAAACGCATTAAAAAGATGTGATGCGAAGTATTATAGGGCTTATTTTTTCAGCCCCTTGTAATAACATTTTCCGGTTACAAAAATCGTCAAAAAGTGTCATTTTCTTAGAAACTAAATTTCATTCTTCTAAATTCCTCCACAGTGGATTTATTAAATAAAAACAATTTTTTCCCCTTAACTTAGAGTGCTGTAACTCGGTGGGGAAGGGGTTTTGAACAAAAAGTTATATGAAAGACACCTCTTAATTTTTGCTGAAAAGTCGCTCCTTGAAATATGTTATTTTAATTAACGCGTATTTTTTGAGATAAAATTGGAATGTACAGGTGTCCCAGACTTATTCTGAGTGTTTTTCATGTAGCACACCCTATGTTGGTATTCAGCTGTCTTTGAAAAATAGCTGTTAAAAAACGACTGTTATTTTAATTTCAGTTAAAAGATAACATTGTTTTATCTTAACATTCTACTTAATAACTAACAATAATTTGGTATACCAAACAATCAAAAAAATTCATGCTGGACCTTAATATTGGTTCTTCTAATTCTACTTTTAAATCGTAAAGCACTTCAGGTTTAGTTTTATATACAACATTTTTGAGATAACCATAAAAAATAATCCAAAGGATTGAGATTGGGGGACCTTGGTGGCCATTCAATTGATCTACAGTTTCCAATCCATCTTTTGGGAAATGCTACTTCATCGAGATATTGCTTAATCTTAACTGCATAAAGTGGTAGTGCATCATTTTGCATTAACCTTAAATTATTGATAAATTCTCATAATTTTACATAGAATCTATAAATATAACAAAAAAGGAGGATTCTCATTTGAAAATTTCAACTTAACTCAATTTTATCTCAAAAAATGCGCGTTAAATAACATAACATAGATGTCTGTATGTTTTTTGAAAGAATTTTCCCCGAATTTTAAACAAATTTATTCCTTACTTTATGTATACAATGTATAAAGCTGTAAATGTCGTTTTTGATGAGTCATCAAAATTAATTCTATGGTTATTAACAATATTCCCAGAAAAAAAAATTGTTGTGGAACACTTTACACAAAGTACTTTGGTTTATTTGTGTTTTTTTTTTAAATTATCATCAACTTGGAAGTGATGTCACACTTTATGGCAATAAGTAGAGCGACAGATCCGCGAATTCGTTAAACAATCTAAGTTTTCTTTACACACAGTTATATTATTAGATAATTTAACTTTTCTTTTTGCTTCTGCCAGGGCTCATACACGTTTTCCATTCATTTCTTGCTAATTGAACGTTCTGACCAAGTTCACATCAATCTTAAGGAGAATGTATAAATTACCTTTAGCCAAAGACGCGTTCAACAACTTAACGAATACATTGCACTTTTAGTCTATGGAATTAACTTCATTTCTGGTGTTATTAACTTCCACCTTTATTAGATACCAGTACTTTAGGTAGATTCTTCAATAAAAATCGTAAAATTTTTAGATTATTTCTTTAATTGCTAATAAAGAATCACTTCAAACACTTTTTAGTGTTATTTAAATACAAGATCTTGTATAAATTAATCTTAAATCAACCATTTAACATAGTCACCATTTACTTTATCACAACCTTACCAACAATTTTTTTTTAATTTGATTTAATTAATTTTTTGCAGATTGTTGTAAGTGTTAAAATTGTATCTTTAAAGTTACCGTCAATTACTACAATCTTTTTTTATGTGTAACTTACAACTTTTAATAAATGTATCCTGTAAGGCAGCATGGGAGCGAGCAATTCTAGTCCTTATCATTGGCCATTAAAAGCTAAGAAGTAAGTGAGCCAGTATTATTTTGCTAATAAAAAAGGGTGTTATTGAGCACGCCACTTTTATTTAAATAAGAAGGGGATTGTCTATAACGTTACTTAAATTATTTTAGAAAGTAAATTAATTACAAATGATACTCGTTCAAAAAAACCGTCCTTTAAAAAAAACTTCTTAGATAAATGGCGTCAATGATTTTTTTTATTAAGATGATGAAATGAAATAAAAAAGTAATATATCTGATAGCGTACACCATAGGTAGTTAATTTTTTACGTTCGTTATTAATTAAAAAAAAATTTGAGAAAAAAAATATTCATTCTGTCTTGCCATGACCACATTATTTCCTAATTAATAATAATTGATAAGAATCGGAGATGTTTTTTTTTAAATCTTTTAACACAAATTTTAAGTTCTTTAAAAATATCTTCGATTCAAAAATATTAAAAGGCTATAAATAAATTAATTGAATCAAGTAAGAAAAATAACAAATAGTTTAAAATAAAAAAAAAACATATTTTGGAATTGCATTAAAATAAAAAAACGAAAACCTACTTTATAAAACAATTAAAGAAAAAGAAAAACAATACAAGGGCACAATTGAAGTTAAAAAAGTAAATAAAAAAGAAAACTGTTAATATATAAGAAAATAACAAATTGTTGTGGTGCATTAAGTAAAACTTTACTTTGTTGAGATTGCAATTTTATTATTACAAAAAAAAATAATTATAAAGTAATATGGAAATAGCTTGGAAAAGAAAATGATAATGGGAAAACATAAGGCAATCAATTATTATACAGTTTTTTAAAGACAAAAATAGCTGTGTTTTTATTCTAAAGATGCGAATATGAAAAAAAGGTGAAATAAAAGTGTGGAAATGAGAGAAGAAAAAAATTAAGTAAAAAATTAAAATAATATATGCACAGAAAAAGTTTTAAAATATTTTGATAAGATTGCAATAATTTGAAACGATTGTTTCTAAAAAAAAGAAAATGGAAAAAAAAGGCGTTGCGTCGAAAGAAACGGTCCTGAAATCGGGAATCCGCCCCCCAACTTTTTAAACCAAATTTATTTATTAAGAGATATAGACACAACGATATTCGCACGGCGGCAATCTTTTCCGGACCGTTTCGCTCGACCGTGGCATTTAGGCGTTTAAGAGAATTAAAAAAGTACTTGTACTTCGTCCCACATCGACGTGAGGTCAATAATAATTACGTACAACACTCAATGTGTGCAAGTAACATGTGATATCATGTAATATGTTAGTGTTAAAAATAAATCGGTATATATACATATTATCTCAAAATTCTTTTTATTAACCTTAATATATATCAATAAGGGAGTGCTTTCACCTTAACAAAAAATTGATCCATGATTCAGGTAAGTATGACACAATCATAACCTAACTAATACAGAAAGCCCTACTATTTACTACCATTTGGTGCAGAAGCACAGGGCTTGAAGGCAGAACGATTAACCTCAAAACAGAAGTCAAATATCTCGGGGTAATACTAGACAGGTGAGGAAAAAAGCCATTATGGCTAGATCTGCCGCAGGTTTCTTGGGAATACGTAGCAATAATCAGACCCATGGTCGGCTATGCCTCACTTGTTTGGTGGCCAAAAACAAATCATAAGACAGCACAACAACAGCTAGCAGAAATCCAGCGGTTAGCATGTTTTAATATAAGGGGTGCAATGATATCTTGTCTCACATCATACTCGATCTCATATCACTTCATTTATACAAAAGGAGGCAGCTTTAAGTGCCTTATCACTGAAAACATGCTCTTCACTCAAGTTGATGCAAGGTAATCTTCCCGAAATTCTCAAAAACCCATGTCTAAACCACTTGATTGAAGTTGAAACGTCGTATAAGGTCATATTTAGAAGCAGGGATGATTGGACGAAGGGTGAGTCTCAACTTAAAAGAGGAGTCCTTGTCTGGTACAGCAAAGACAGTTGGATCTGGAGTAAGTATGGCCATTAGTAGACCAAATAGTAGTATTAAATTGCCCCTCTGTTCGGACATAACCATTTTTCAAGCAGAAGTTCTTGTTATAAACTTCTGCACCGTTTTGAACCTAGAAAAGGAACAAAAAGGTGCATCCATAAACATTTTCACAGACAGTCGGGCCACCCTAAAGGCAATTCAGGCCTACCCGTGTGACTTGGCACTGATCAGAAAGTGTATCATATCAGTAACCTGAGAGAACTCGCTAGGGGCAATGATGTTACTCTATGGTGGGTTCCAGGTCACAGAGACATTGAGGACAATGAAAAGGCGGATAAGTTGGCAAAGAGGCAGCGAAAACGCCCTTTATAGGACCACAATCCGGTTCATCAATAGTTGATCAAGGTCTCCCATCAATAGTTGGGAGACCTCAAAGGTAGCCTTACGCTGGAAAAAACTTCCAGCTTCCAACTTCCGGTGAGGAGACGGTTCCACTCCCGGCAGCAATAATAACATTATATCAATCAATTTAGTTTAATTATTTAAAAAGAAAATCTTTAATGCCTTAATGACTTTTTTCAAAACGTTAGCAGACATTTCCGAAATTCTAGAATGAATAACATCATTCCACAAAGAAACCGCTTCAACTTTCTTTCTCTGATCATTACACATCCTAGTTTTACGATGTTTAGTACACAAAAACGTTTTCATCTCCGTACTAGTGTTACTTCTAGTTTTTATTGTCGGAAATGCTAAGAGATCTATAAAATTCGTGTTCTCTTTCTTGGGTTGGGTCGTTAGCTTATGTTCTAAAACTTCTTCTAGATCTGAACCTGAGAAATAATGATTCTCTCGATGAAGAAGACTTGGAAAGAAACCGTGAAGGTAGTTTAGAAGTGGACGGTTCAGGGATAGGAGATGGTGCATGCATATACTATGTATAAGCTTGAAGAAGAATTGTTTGCAAGAAGAGTCATAGCCAGAGTGTTGTATTGAATATTTAAAACATAAGTATTTAACAAACTTCTTTTGAATTCTTACAATCCTGGATATGTACGTTTGTTACTGCGAGCACCAAACGACACTGCAATAGTTAAGAGTACTGTAAACGAAAGCAAAGTACAGTATTATGATTGTATTAACACTTGTAAAAGAAACTGAGGATCTCTTTACAAAACCTAGCATTCGCAAAGCGTTGGATATCATCAAATTGATATGTATAGGCCTGGACTTCTGCAGTTCCGAACAGTTCTGAAGCAACATTTAATAAACTCAACATTTCTTCTACTCTTGTATGTATGTAGTTTTACGTGGGGGTGAGTTTCTTCACAGCACTTAGGCCTCAGCGGGCCCTACAGTTACTGTTCATTCAAGGTCAGAAAACCAGCCCAATCTTTTCATGAACGTTAATATAGAACAGAAAGATATGTTCCTTATATCCGAAATTTGGAGCCATGGTACTCAAAAAATTGATTCCATTAAGTACGCGAGGTTGGTAAAGTCACAAACAATCTGTGTATTCGCCAGCTTTATGTAATACATGTGCTTACGTAACCTGCAGTGTCCGGTCAGGAAGTGGATGAGAAGCCTCAAGTCACTTTGTGATTTTCCCAGAAACTGAGTAGATCTCTTCCGGTCAGGGTAGAGCAGAGTTTTCTTAGCAAAGACACCTGCTGCTGTCCCATCCCATCTGTTGCAAAAAGCTCGATGGGAGATGGAGTTTCTTCTTCTACTCTTTACAAGTGATCAAAAGTGATTGGGATTGGAAATGATGCTATTCTCAATATCACGCAGATAATCCTTGTAATCCAATTCAATGAGTACTTAGCTCTATGTCTTTAAATAAAAAATGTTAAATAGTTAGATTTATTCCATCGACCCAAAAACATTTATAGTTTCCTTCGAAAACGTCACAAAAGCGAGCTTTATTAAAGTTGAGTATAACTTGATCCTGCGGCGGTAAATTGCTTGACATAGTTATTAAACACGTTAATAACATTAAAAACATAAACGAAAAAGATTTTACGAATAAAAATAATTTAAAATCAAGTTTTGAAAATATTTATTTTTTTAACAATTAAGTTCCACTACTCAATTGTAGATGGCGGTTAAGGTTATGAATCAAATGTTGGTATTTTAACCTAACCTAAAAGTCATCACATGTCAAAATAATCAAATAAACAGTACATTTTAAATCAAAATGGGTAAAAATAAGTTTAATAATCGTAAGAAAAAGCGAAACCAAAAAAGCAAACCTAAAAAAGAACGAAAAACCTATAGTTTATACTCAAATAAAGATCAACGTCGAAATTTTGGAACTAAACGAAAAGTTGAAGAGGTTAACGAAGATGTTAGAAATGAAAAACGAAAGAAAGAATATATCGAAAATACTCCAGAAACATTTTCTTCGGATAGTGATGATAACGTTGATAATATGCAACAACTTTTATCAACATTTAAACATTACTCAAATGAAAAAAAAATTGAGAGTAGCGAAGATGAATCAGGCGATGATTTAAATGATAGTTTTGATGAAGAAGATTTTGTAGAGAAAAGTGATTATAAAGATAAAAATGAATTGATTGAAACGAATCAAGATGATGAAGAAATTGAGATAAATGATGATGTTGAAACACAAAATGAAGACAATGATTTAGAGTCATGTCAAGATCCGTTTAGTAAACATTTATTGTTTGAATTAAGCCCTAATTTATTAAATTCAGTTCAAAATCTTCCTATTACATCAACAACAACCATAGAAAATTGGTCAAAATTGAATCGATTAATCATTCAGATACCACAATGTAATGAAGAATCAAAAAGTGATAAAAATGTGACATCAAACACAATCCTTGAACGAAAAATATTTGCTTTACCAGGTGAAATCCCCAAAAAAATTAATTTAAATAAAGAAACATACGAAACTTTATTTATAAAATCACAAATTAAAGATAATTTAATTAGAAGTAATACTTCTTTATCAAGTAATGATAAATTAAAATCAATACCTTTAACTTCATTGCAAGGTGAAATTTTTTCTATAATAAATAATTATCAAGATTTTTATTTTCCTGGGAGAACTTTTGATAATGCAGAAGAAATCCGATTTGTTTATTGTTTACATGTTGTGAATCATATTTTAAAAACGCGAACGAAAGTTTTACATCATAACGCGAGGTTGTCTAAAAAAGATGATGTTCCTGAAGAATTTAGAGATCAAGGTCTTGTTAGGCCTAAAATTTTAATTATAGTACCATTTAAATCATCGGCATATAAAATTATTCAATTATTAATAAATATTTTAATAACTGAGGATAAAGGAAATGTTATAAATAAAAATCGATTTATTGAAGACTACACAGGAAATGAATTACAAATGCCTAAAAAGAATCCAAAACCTGAAGATTATGAATTAACATTTTCTGGAAATACAAGTGATGATTTTAAGATTGGAATTACAGTAACAAAAAAGAGTTTAAAATTATATGCAGCTTTTTATTCTTCTGACATAATAGTAGCGTCACCTTTAGGTTTACGTACGATAATTGGAGCTGAAGGTGAATCAGAACGAGATTTTGATTTTTTAGCTTCAATTGAATTATTAATATTCGACCAAATGGAATTGTTTCTTATGCAAAATTGGGACCATGTTCTTCACATTATGAATCACATCCATTTACAACCAAAAGATTCACATGGAACAGATTTTTCGCGAGTCCGCCACTGGAGCTTAAATGGTTGGGCAAAATATTATCGCCAAACTTTAATTTTTTCATCGCTCATTTTACCGGAGATAAATTCGATATTTAATAAAAAGTGTTTTAATTATGCAGGAAAAGTTAAAGTGGTAAATGAAATTCAATTTGGGTCTATTGGTCAAGTCTTTGTTCAGTTACCACACGTTTTTCAAAAAATCAATGTTAATAGTGTTGAACATTCGATTGATGCTCGATTTGATTTTTTTATTAATAAGATTTTACCACAACAAAGAGATCCCTTGATGAAACAGACAATGATTTATGTTGCAAGTTATTTTGATTATGTGAAAATTAGGAATTATTTTAAAAAGGAAGATATTGGATTTGTACAAATTTGTGAATATTCAAAGGTAAGTAATGAATCTTTGATATCTTTGTATCATTTTTGACATCACAATTAACTTTAATAATTAAAAGAAGATTTTTTTATCCTCATCCAAACTTATTAAAGTTATAATACTAAAAGCTTTCTCATTTTACAATGTTTGCATCATATACTTAGGGTCAGTTCTACAATACAGGGAATTCAAAATTCGACCCCACCATTGGATCTCAAAAACCATAAGAGATACAGAAATAGTTAAATGGAGGCAAAGTTAGAGCTCATCATTTTTCAACAAAGTTTTTGGATCTAGCCGTTTTAGTTTTTAAAATATGGCGAAAAACAAAAAAATGACTTTTTGCCTATAACTTCTTTATTCTTCGTTTTTCCGTGAATTTCAAAAAAGATTCTTAAAGCAACTTTTTATGAAAAATGTCATGACTTAACTAGAAATTTTCTCCGACGTTTCGTTTTTGTGAAATTATCTGGTTTATTTTTTTTTTTTTGAATAATTCATTGTTTTTTTAAATGAAATACATTGTGTGACATATCATTGAAATCGGAATTAATTATTCTATTTTTTGGTGTGAAAATCAAATATGGCGTTCATAAGAAAAAATAAACCTGATGATAGTATCACAAAAACGAAACGTCTGAGAAAATTTGTGGTTGTGTCATTACATTTTTCATAAAAAGTTGCTTTAAAAATGTTTTTTTCAGATTTCAGAGAGATTCAGAAATTTTTCAGAGAGAGAGCAAAAAACGAAAAAGTCACTTTTTTGTTTTTCGGCCATATCTTAAAAATTAAAACGGCTAGATCCAAAAACTTTGTTGAAAACTGATGAGCTCTAAGATACAAAACGTTGCCCCCATTTAACCATTTCTGTATCTCTTTTGGTTTCTGAGATCCCAATGGTGGGGGTCGAATTTGAATTACTCTATATACTTGATAAATCTACCTGACAACCATCCGGCGGATAAACTTATCGGAAGGATAAATGAGGCCGTCAGCGCAAAAGTGGTGTAACCTCAAACTATTTAAGTAGGAGAGAACAGGGATTTTAAATTTGATAAATATTTTTTTGAATTTAACTTCTTTTGTGAACAGTATTTTAATTGTTTTATTTTTAATTTATAAAAAGAAGTTTCAAATTTACAATTGCTGTGTATTTTTGTATTTATTAAGTTAATATTATAGCAAAAAATGTAGACTACACCAGTTCTGCATTTCTAATATTTTGGTTCAATTTAAAATAATAAACAGGTTACACCACTTTAGGACAAGTTTATACAAAAATCAATCAAAATACATAGTACAAGAGCTATTCATCATCTGTCTCATCATAATACACCTCTTCTCTGACACTGTTGGAGCAATTCAGAGGTTGTTATAAAAAGTGCGGGATGAAGTGCAACAATTCAAGAAGGTCCTTTTTCTTTTTTTCAGCTATGGTTGGTTTTTCGAATGCATATAGTTGTGTTATGGTCACTGACTGCCTTTTTTTAACACTGACCTCGTTAAAGAGAACATCTTCACACTCATTCGTATTATCTTGAATGGTTGCTGTTTTAATTACTTCCAACCAGTTTTCTGGAACGTATATTTCTTTGAAGAATTTTTTATTTTTTTCTATTAGACCAAAATCTTGGTCACATGGTAAATATGAATATCCACTGCCCAAAAATTTATGGTCTATTTCTTCAATAGTAAAGTCCGGGTGAGATACAACATACTGACAGAACAACGACATCTTTATGTTTCTATTCTGTTCCCCACATTGGTCAGAATACATGACTACTTTTTTAGTAGTCACAAAATTTTTAAAAAGGTAAAGCAAACAAGATTCAATTTCTTGGGGTCCTCGCGACTCATCAGATTCGTCCCAAACAAACAAGCAGGCATCATCTGTACCCATGTTATAAATTCCAAAGCAAAAACTCCAAAGCTGTCTCTTGTAATACACTATTCCAGTACTCAACACAGGGGTAGGTAGGGTTTTCATTAAGTCAAAGGTGATTACAGTGGTTACAAAGGTCAGCAGATGATTTTGCCAAGGTCGTATCGTCTTTAATCCTTTCACATTGTAATTCGTGTTTTAGCTGTTCACTCACAGCACATTTAATTTTCTTATGAAAGAGATCACATCTTTTGCAAGAATCACTGATGGGTGCATAGAAACGTAGGTTAAAACATTCATTAAAAATTTTACTAAACATGAAAGATGAGACAGGTTCAAGTGTATTTTCTTTATAAAGAGAATGCATTCGTCCAAGGGTCAGATCCGGTGAAAGATATCTCCTATTCTCATTTTTATGTCTGGTATAATGAAACTCATAAACTGGATACCGGCCAATGAATTCTTTTACTTCTGCGATCTTGTTGTCTGGTGTTTTGTTTACAGGAGTTTGTCGACCTCTCCGATCAATAGTTGGAACACTATGAATACTTTTATGCTTCAACATCCTAGTTACACGTCCATCAGAAACTTGAAAAGTTCTTAGGAAGTATTTTTTACACACCTGAAACTCAACACCACCTTCACCTAATAAATGATAAATGTTTTTTGTCTTCTTGATTCCTCTTTTCCCTCTGATACACATGTTGTATTTGTAACCGGATTATGTTTATTTTTCAAGAATGGGTCTGAAGCCAATTCTAACAATTGCTCTTCTCCCGCATGCGACAAACATTCTGGCATTGATATTGTCTGTGACATTGGTGAAATCAGGGAAGTAGTTTTTCAACCCCACTTGCAAACCCTCCAAATGCTGCGTTATGCATTTCAGAGTATCAGCATCAATTATAGTATCCAAACTTGTTGTAAAGTCATGAAGAGAGGGAAACGAGTCTATTTTAAACGAGCATCGATTTTGCTCTGTCATAATAAGGGAGGTAAAGGCCAATTGTTTTCAAATATTTACATTTTAATATCTCCTAGGCTATTCAACCAAGTTGAATATTTTTGGTCTTGTTTGAAAGAGCATTTTATGTTCNTATAGAAACTGACGTTTTTTTGTTCATATTGATATCTCAATCTGTTCAGAAGTTAAACAGGGGGGGGGTTACTTTACGCTAGCACTGTATACTTGTTAAATCTACCTGACAACCATCCGGCGGATAAACTTATCGGATAAAATTATTTTTTGAATTTAACTTCTTTTGTGAACAGTATTTTAATTGTTTTATTTTAAATTTATAAAAAGAAGTTTCAAATTTACAATTGCTGTGTATTTTTGTATTTATTAAGTTTATATTATAGGAAAAAATGTGGGTTACAAAACTTCTGCATTTCTAATATTTTGGTTCAATTTAAAATAATAAACAAGTTACACCACTTCAGGACAAGTTTATACAAAAATGAATCCAAATACATAGTACAAGAGCTATTCATCATCTGTCTCATCATAATACACCTCTTCTCTGACACTGTTGGAGCAATTCAGGTTGTTATAAAAAGTGCGGGATGAAGTGCAACTTTTTCTTTTTTTCAGCTATGGTTGGTTTTTCGAATGCATATAGTTGTGTTGTGGTCATTGACTGCCTTTTTTTAACACTGACCTCGTTAAAGAGAACATCTTCATTGTTAGAATACTTATAAAAAATTGAGAATTGATGAATTTTATGGAATCTTAGCCACTGAACATTTAACCACTCCATCTTGGTGTTACTAACCGAAATTTTTCTGTTGGTTATATTTTTTCCAGCTATTTGGAAGAGAAAAAATCACTTCCACTCATTCGTATTATCTTGAATGGTTGCTGTTTTAATTACTTCGAACCAGTTTTCTGGAACTTATATTTCTGTGAAGAATTTTTTATTTTTTTCTATTAGACCAAAATCTTGGTCACATGGTAAATATGAATATCCACTGCCCAAAAATTTATGGTCTATTTCTTCAATAGTAAAGTCCGGGTGAGATACAACATACTGACAGAACAACGACATCTTTATGTTTCTATTCTGTTCCCCACATTGGTCAGAATACATGACTACTTTTTTAGTAGTCACAAAATTTTTAAAAAGGTAAAGCAAACAAGATTCAATTTCTTGGGGTCCTCGCGACTCATCAGATTCGTCCCAAACAAACAAGCAGGCATCATCTGTACCCATGTTATAAATTCCAAAGCAAAAACTCCAAAGCTGTCTCTTGTAATACACTATTCCAGTACTCAACACAGGGGTAGGTAGGGTTTTCATTAAGTCAAAGGTGATTACAGTGGTTACAAAGGTCAGCAGATGATTTTGCCAAGGTCGTATCGTCTTTAATCCTTTCACATTGTAATTCGTGTTTTAGCTGTTCACTCACAGCACATTTAATTTTCTTATGAAAGAGATCACATCTTTTGCAAGAATCACTGATGGGTGCATAGAAACGTAGGTTAAAACATTCATTAAAAATTTTACTAAACATGAAAGATGAGACAGGTTCAAGTGTATTTTCTTTATAAAGAGAATGCATTCGTCCAAGGGTCAGATCCGGTGAAAGATATCTCCTATTCTCATTTTTATGTCTGGTATAATGAAACTCATAAACTGGATACCGGCCAATGAATTCTTTTACTTCTGCGATCTTGTTGTCTGGTGTTTTGTTTACAGGAGTTTGTCGACCTCTCCGATCAATAGTTGGAACACTATGAATACTTTTATGCTTCAACATCCTAGTTACACGTCCATCAGAAACTTGAAAAGTTCTTAGGAAGTATTTTTTACACACCTGAAACTCAACACCACCTTCACCTAATAAATGATAAATGTTTTTTGTCTTCTTGATTCCTCTTTTCCCTCTGATACACATGTTGTATTTGTAACCGGATTATGTTTATTTTTCAAGAATGGGTCTGAAGCCAATTCTAACAATTGCTCTTCTCCCGCATGCGACAAACATTCTGGCATTGATATTGTCTGTGACATTGGTGAAATCAGGGAAGTAGTTTTTCAACCCCACTTGCAAACCCTCCAAATGCTGCGTTATGCATTTCAGAGTATCAGCATCAATTATAGTATCCAAACTTGTTGTAAAGTCATGAAGAGAGGGAAACGAGTCTATTTTAAACGAGCATCGATTTTGCTCTGTCATAATAAGGGAGGTAAAGGCCAATTGTTTTCAAATATTTACATTTTAATATCTCCTAGGCTATTCAACCAAGTTGAATATTTTTGGTCTTGTTTGAAAGAGCATTTTATGTTTGATTCGCGCAACAAAGTATTCTACGAATTCATAAAGGTGTCCTTCCCCTATGGCGCTCAGCTCAAATCATGCCTTGGCCTCCTTCAATTCACCTCTCCATTCAGAGCCACTCTCTTTCCCATCCAAATCCTTGCATCGTCTTCCACCGTGTCTCCCACCTTTTCCTCGGTCTTCCGATTGGCCTCTTTCCCTGCATTCGGCTATTTATCGTTCTTTTTGAGAGTCTTCCAACCTAACAACGTCCATCCTGGCCGCAGCTTTTGGATTTTCACAAAATCAGAGATTGGGGTTTCTTAAAATACTGATACAATTCGTGGTTGTACCTAGTCATTCAAAGGTTGTTCTCCATAACGGGCCCTAAAGTTCTTCTCATTATCTTCCTCTCGAAAATATTTAGTCTCCCCTTGTTTTTTTGTGTTAGTGTCCAGGATTCGCATCCGCACAAGGCGATTAGGCGGATAATTGTCCTGTAGGCTCTCAATTTGGTCTTTCGGTGTATACTTTTCGATTTGAAGATATGTATCAGCGAGAAGTACACTCTATTAGCAGCTACAATTCTTTTCTGCATTTCCCCGTCTTCGGCTCCGTCCACCGTTAGCTCTACGCCCAAATAGGTGAAATAGTCCAACACGCTGACATCATCTAGCTTTGCTATGAGTGGGGGTTTCGGTATTTGCAGTCTTCTGTATCATTAATTTTGTTTTCTTCACGTTAATGTCAAGGCCAACCATTTTCGCGCACTTCTTCAGGTTGGTATATGTCTCTTCTCCCGCTTGCTTTGTTCGGCTTACTATATTGAAGTCATCCGCGTATATCGCCAACTATACTGATTTGTATGTTAGTAAGTTGTCTCTTCCCACTACCATTTTTATTATAACGTATTCTAGGGTTACATTGAAAGGAGTCGGGACTAACCCATCTCCTTGTTTCAGACCTTGTATTATTTTAAAAGAGTCGGTTACCTTATAGAGCTGCTTTCTGTGTATACTGTCGTACGCCTGACGAAAATCAACAAAGCTTCACATTGCCAGTTTTCATGAAATTGCATCATCAAATATGATACAATTTCATCATATCATCAGTATACTATATAATCTAAAATATTTTGGTGGTTATTTGTATGGTTAATCATATATCTGCGACTCTGTAATCTTCTTGCTTTCTTGTACAGGGTCCGGCATTGAAACTTTTTTTTTAATGGGACGTGGTGGTAAGACTGCAGCTAGTTGCAGCGCGGTAGTGTTTTTAGCCGAGAACATTGGTGGGAGATTTTGCTTGCCAAACATCGTTATCTGCCAAAATTTTTTGGCTGAGAGCTTATCGTAGGTTGAAGCTTTTAGGGCAGTTGAAAATGTGTAAGAGACCAGGAGCGCCGTTAGAACACATACAAACATCAACGCAGTCCGAGCTTCATACTGCTCTAGCATATAACATAGCACATTAGTGTTTATACAACAAATTCGTGTTATTTCTTATTTAAAAGATAATTTTCCTTATGTGCTTGCAATAATCCATACTGCAAAAGTTTTTAATTAATTAGATTATCTCTATTTCTTTGTAGGAGGCTAAAATAGCAAGAGCAAGAGATATTTTCTTCCACGGTGATGTTCAATTTCTCTTATACACAGAAAGACATCATTTTTTTAATCGAATTCGTATAAAAGGAATACGTCACATCGTTTTTTATCAACCACCAACTTTTCCACATTTTTATTATGAAATATGTAATTTTATGCAGGTATGTCTTAGTGTTTTAAAAAAATGTTGGAGTAATGTGTTAATGTTTTCAGGAAGCTAATATGAATAAAAAGATTGGAAGCATGTCCAACATGACAGTAACAGTTCTTTATACAAAATATGACGCCCAACAATTAGCAACGATAGTTAGTACAGAAAGAGCCGCGAAAATGATACAATCGGAAAAAACGGTTCATATGTTAGTAACTGATGGAAATTAAGTTAAAAATATTAAAATGTTAATGTAAATAAAGAAAAATAAAGACGTACATTTTAATAGTTATAATTTAATTCCTATTTTCTACAATTAAATAAATACAATAAATAAGTTACTGAGTATCAGTAAATATAATGACAAAATAATGATCAACATTTAGTTTTTGGTCTCAAATTGTTTTTAGACCTAGATAATGTTTGGTTTGGAAGTGTAGATTTTTCAATTGGTGGTACAATTTCCTCCAGATGTGTCTCTTAAAGGTTCGTTTAAATTACGCTCTATAAAAAAGAATATCTCATTAAATTGTAAAAAAAAAATTACACATAAAAATAGGTTAAATGTTCTCATTAGTGAAAATTTATTTAGAAATCTGATCGTTGTACCTGATTGGCGATCATAACCGACCTCTTTAGGATAACCTTTCCACAAAAAAATATAATACAACGACAACATAATCGCGGCCAACGATACAAAAAAAACGTACGCAACAACTGTTAAAACCCTCACTAATTTTTTTTTATGTTTTGGTTCATATAAACGATCCTTCGCCTCTTCACCAGCTAATTTTACACTTGTATCAACCGAACCCGCTTTCAACCACGCACCGGGTGGGTCATTGTTCATTTTCAAACTGTTATTAGATATCTTTCCCGACATTTTATCTCTTTTAAAAAAGTTTAATTTAAAAAATTTTAATACTAATTGCGGAGCGCGAGCTTTTGCGACGCCGATCGTCCGAAAATAGGTGAACGTTTACGTTTGTAGCACTTCCAGAAATATGGTTTAAACATGTTCGATGGGTTGTGTCGATTATTAACGTTTCTACGAGGTCAGTACGCGAATTTAGGCCGCATTTATTTTCATTCTTTTTTTTTTATTTTTATTTCCAACCTTTACGAATCAATAATTCCTCGATGTTCTTTGTGCGCAATTCCTCTTGAGGGACATTTCGAATTACAAAATTCAAAGTGTTTTAAGATTTATTAACTATTTCAAATTATGAATTAAAGTTTATAACATACAGTTACTTTGAAATTTAAATTTTTGGTTTGTATAAAAGATTGATGAAAATAAATTTGATGGTGAGTAATTAATTTTTTGGAAAAGTTCCAAAGAAGGAAAGGTTTCTAAAAGGTAGATACAGTAAAATATTTTTAAGTCATACTTAACCCGAATGTTTCTAGTTCTAGATCTAGTGTTATCTAGTGTTGATCTAGTTTTACACTATCACTAGAACTAACACAACAGCTAGAACTAGAATCATTCGGGTTTAGCCGTCTTGAGAGACGTGCGGCTAAATCCGAATGTTTCTAGTTCTCGGTCTAGTGTTAGTTCTAGTATTGCACTAACACTATCACTAGAACTAACGCTAGACTTAGAACTAGAATCATTCGGGTTTAGCCGTCTTGAGAGACGTGCGGCTAAACCCGAATGTTTCTAGTTCTAAGTCTAGCGTTAGTTCTAGTTTTAACTGTTATTCAGCGCTAAATTGTTGTACATTTTTATTAAACTAAAAGTAGAACTAACACTAGATGGCTAAATCCGAATGTTTCTAATTCTAGACCTAGTGTTAGTTCTAAAGCTAGAGATATCCAGAATTAATCCGTTATAGCAAGGATTTATTGTATTAATAAATTAACAAAGTGATTCTTTACTTTGTTTGATTTGTTTTATAACTCTTCAAAAATAAATAGATTTGTTTGGTTAGGTTAACACAAAGAAGGTAAAAATATAGGTCAACGGAACTCGTACATATGTATGTCAACCCTTAATTGGATTGGCATTAAAACACCTCTTTTTATTCCTGCCACAGGTTTCCCTCAACCGTATATTTGCCATCAAATATTGACTTTCGAACTTTAACAGCACCAAAAAAAAAAGCTCACCTTTTTTATTATCTTGTTGAATACCTTGGGTTACATCATTTGTTAAAATATCTTTTTCCGTCTCTCTTTCACGTTCCGTTTTTAATGAGTCAAAAGTAACATTTATATAGTTTTTGGTAAACTCCTCAATATTCGCAGCATCAGATTTATTTTGCTCTAATTGTGTTTCTTCGCGAATCATTGATGAATGACCAATCATAGATTCCATTCGAGGATCAGTTCTCCTCGCTAAGCTAGGTTGTCCTTCCCACATAAAAATGTAATAAATCGAAAGAAGAATTGCCGCCATTGAAACAGACGACATGTACGCAAAAACTGTTAAAATTCTAATCAATTTTGGTTTTGATTTTGGTTCGGAATACAAATCATCTTCATCTCCTTCGTTTGTCTCTTTGTTTTCATTTCCTTTCTCTTCAGGCATTTTTATTAATTTTTATCCCAGTTTACTTCAATTTATTTAAAAATTATTATTAAAGCACATAAATCCAAAAAATAAACAAAATAATATTTTCAGCTTAAATTAGCTTAATAATAAACAGTTATTTTTTATTATTATCTATAAAATGCATTGAGCTTCAATAAAAAAATAATTTTTTTTTTTTAATAAGCCAAAATGAAACTTTTTCGAAACTTACTTCTAAATTGAAATTTAATTTTCTTTCGTTATTATTTATTTTAAATTCAACAAGCGGTATATCTTGCGTTTGTTGAAGCGCACCATCGACTGTGGACAAAAACAAATCGCGACACTACATCGAATTTTTCACCGAGGCGGAATGAGTTTGTGACGGCGAAGACATCGTCAAAGCTTTTGGTCATGCGTTTTGCGACCTGGAAAACCATATCAACCCACTCCTAATGTAAACTACTCCGGAGACAAAAAAGTATTTATTTTTGAAAGACAACATGTTTTTCTCCTAGAAAAAAGCGTGGTGTAGAACATGATACATCAATTTTCATGCCTGCAGTTGTTGTTTTCTTTTTTTGAGATCTATTTTGATCAAAGAAGGGAGTTTATGGCTTTTGTTATGTTTTTGCCCTGTTGACTATAACTTCACATCTTCTATTGTAGGTCATCTTAGTCCCAAAATAAGTGATCTCTTCTCATCCTTTAATTAAGATCTTTTGTTTCTCCGCCCATGCAAAGTTTTTCCTACGTTCGTAACCAACCCCCATCGGTCGTATACTTCGATTAATTTTCTTGCCATATATTCAAGGTCTTCTTCTTCCTGAGCTACTACCTCTTGGTCTTCAGCAAAATGTAGCCTATGCAGCGTTGTTTGTTCATCAAGTTCTACATTTCTTTGTCCATTCATCAAGAGCAATCTGCACATATATGTTGAATAATGACGATGTGCATCCTTTTCAGAGCCCTTTGTTGATGTTGAAACTTTCTGATATTTGTGTATCTTTAATGCCGCTTCTGTCCCTCTGTATAATAAAATTCTTGTACCGTCTTGATTAACGTGACATTTATTGACGTTTGCGATCAATCAACAATTTTTGTTGAGGAATGGTGTCATATGCCTTGGTGAGATCCACAAATAAGAGATGTGTTGTTCTTCCTGTAGCTACTAAATAATTAACAAATATATAATTGCATAAAAGTAACGTAACACAAAAAAATGTATAAATCGTTAAAATGAATTAAGCTAATACATAAAAATTGCATCAAGAGAAACAATAATTTCTATTAGATTAAATTTAATCATATTAGATCACCCTTCAAGGCTAAAACTCTTCAATATTGTCTCAGCAAGAGACGTATTACGCAAATAAAAATCAAATCGATACTTCCATAAACGAAATTAACTCAAATTGCTTCAATTTGTAATATTTCGAAGTTCTCGTTATAAAAGCTCAAAGTCCAAGATAATGAGGACGACGGAAAACGTTTATTTCTGCCTTTGGATGGCGATTAATTGTTATGCAAGTACCCAACGACAGCTTATATCATGATTATTTTTAAACCGATGCATAAACACGGACAAAATGCATTGAAATCCACCCATTACAAATTTCAAGTCATCAGAGTAGTCATAGCAATACGAAGATTTCTTTTTTCTAACAAAACAGATCATTTTACAAGAAATCTAACATTATTTTATCTAAAATAAAGTTTTCATGATTTTGATCCGAATAATGATAAAATGGTTAGTTTGACGCGTAGTTTAAACACGAATTCGGGTGTAAGTAAAAAAAACTGACTTCGTTTTTGACAGTTCCAAAAGTGAGGTTAGGTTTATTGTTATCTTTTTGTGTTTGGATTAGGGAGCAACGTTTTTCAGTGAATCGCAAAATATGGATGAAAGGGAATATTTGGAACCGATTTTGGAGTCTTATGGTGTTTTTAAACCGTTGAGGAGTATCCCGGTAATAACGTTACATCTAATTACGACTTTAGGACTTGAAATAACAGCCATTATTTATACTATAATTCACCCGGAAAAAGATTCTAATTGCCGAGAGTACTTTACGTTGATTTATATTGAACTAGGATTATGGCTTTTAACTTTAGTAAGATTTAATTAGTTAAAAAAAAATTTTTTTTTTTACATTTTTTTTTTTAGGTTATTGATCAAATATTACGAATGAAACATTATGCATTACGAATGAATGGTTATTTGGATTTTTATAAGAAAACACAAGTTCTTTATAGGTTACCATTATACATGGTCAGTTTGATGGTTGCTTGTGTTGCATTATTGCAAACTTTGATGCAACATTATTATGGAGATAATTTCACCAAAAACTGTTTAAATGGAACTTTTTTTTCACCTATTGGATATATTTGTCTTACCTTGACCGTTCAGTTTTGTGTTATTGCTTTAATTGACATCAGATACATTGGTAAGTCACTTTTAAATTTGACAGTTAATTAATAGTGAAGTTAGCATATTAGGCAACTTTGAAACAAGAAAAAAACTATTTAAATCAAAATATATTTTTATTAATAATTTCAAATTTATTTTCAGTTCTTGTTGCTAAATTTAACGTCCAAAAACCTCCTCCTGATGTTCAAAAAGAAGAATGGAACGCTTGTTCCTCAGTTGATTCTTTTGCTCATGGTGAAATAGGTTATAGACAACGAGGGGATAAGTTTTTTGATTTCATTGAAAAACAGGTTTGTTTCATTCATTAATTATAAAACATTACTTAATTCATTGTTTTAGGCTGATTTAATAAGACATTTAAAAGATCACAACGCGAAATTGGGAGAAAAGCTGATGATTTTAAACGCCCAAATGCAAAACCGGGCCCGCTCTGGAACCAGTAATGCTTAAAATCCAAATTTTTAACCATTTTGTAATTGTGATATTCAAGTTGTTTCTTGAGTGAATTTGTATTGATTTTTTTCAAATTGAACATAATTTATTGTATAAAAACGTAGCTATTTTCTTTAAATGTTTGTAACATATTTATACAGATGTCATGTTAGTTAATAAAATTGTAATTATAATTAAGGTTTAAATAGTAATGGGGGGTAACACACAGATATTTTAAATTAACTGTATAATATATCCGTTTGTTGCCCTTGGAGGAAGGTTTAATTTTGAAATAACACCCAATTTTAAAAAATTTCAAAGAAACGCTTCGTCATTTTGTGGTGATATAGTTTTGAAAGGAACACAAAAAAAAACGTTACTTGCGTATCTGATGTAATAAGCTTAGCGTGGCTTGGTGAAAGTTTTGAATCATTAGTGTTAAGATTATGTCTTTCAAAAGACTTCCTATTTTAAAGAAATGTTCAATCTTTCTATTTTATAACCACATGACACAGAGAAAACATCGTCTATTATTCTCAAAAAATCTTTGAAAACCACGAAATTAATTAATTAAGCATTAAGCAATAAAAAGCTTTTTTATATAAATTTCAATTTAAGAAAACAACTGACCTTAGAAGACCAAACATAATCCATTGCATAATCGACAAGTATTTACGGTTGGTTGGACGTTTCTTAAATTGGCTGAATACGGACAGTTTCTTCAGAGAGGTGGAAGATAAGAGGTGCGTAACAACGTCGCAATTTCTCGCAAATAGTTCTTCGTAAATAAATATATAGTTTTGAGTGAGCGCGAAAATTTATCCTATATTTATGGATCTTCGAAACATTAATAAATTTGCTTTAATAAATTTACATTAATAATGAATTTCTGTGAACTATTTTTCATCATTTATTTTAGTTTCGAGTTATGCGCCAGAGCACTATCTAAAGGTAGGAAAACTATTCAAATTATATAATATTATTTTATTAAATAGATTCAATTAAGAAATATTAGGAAGTGTTACTTCCTTGTTAGTGTTTAATAAATAATATACCTTTCCTATTTAGATCAAGGTAAACACGGAGGAGATACATTGCATACTTTTAGTGAATGTATTCACCTCCAATTCATATTTTTATTTGATAACGATAAAAATATTTAAATTATAGGTAAGTATTAATCAAATGATTTATCGAGGAAAACTCAATTACTTTACTTCTCAATTTAAAATCGCCATTTATATAATACGCTATGTACTTATATAATTATTATCGGTCTATATTTACTGCTCCATGTGGCATAGAATTTAGCCATTCTGGTTTTTGTCGTTTACCTTTAAATAAAATCATGGGTGGAATGGCTTGTCTTAACGCATTTCCACAAGCTACTACCGTCTCATTCTCAGCATGCTCTGGAGCAATGATGTGGACTCTTTTTGAGTAAACACTTGTTGCTGTTAATCAATTGGGGTTTATTTGTAATATTTAAATTTATTAGACTTTGTTTCAATTTTTGAAAGATTTAGCTACTATAGTTTTGTTTACTTTTTAAACTCTTGTAGGATTTAATAGAAAAAAAAATTAATTAACATTCAGTTTGTGAAGAAAAACAATGTTTTAACTTAATTTGTTCAGCAAATTTTTTATCATCACATTCATTACTAACAACTGTCGCTGTTATCACTTTCGATTATTAATCAAAGTATCCTCTTCTTAATAAAAATCCGTTTTGAAACATCACTTTCAGTTCTTGAGAAATAAATTTTTGAAATGATCGACAATTTTTTCAATTTTCGTCGAATAAGTTTTAAAAATTCGTATAAAATCCATTTTTTGTAATATGAGTTTGAAAATTTTCCAAAGCGTTAATAAAAGTGTCCTCTTTCCAATGAACCAACCCGTTTTGAAAAATAACTTTTAGTTATTGACAAAAAAATATTTGAAGTTTTGATGAAATTTTCGATGTTACAATTTTCATCGATTATTTTCAAAATTCGCTGTAAAATTAATTTCTTGAAGGATCCTTGTGGAAATATCACCAATTATTAATTAAAGTATCCTCTTTTTAATGCAACAAGCCGTTTTGAAAAATCGCTTTTAGTTCTTAAGAAATAAATTTTTGAAATAATCGACAATTTTTTCGTATTTTGCAATTTTCGCCGATTAAGTTTTAAAAATTTGTATAAAATCCATTTCTTGGAATATGAGTATGAAAATACTCGTATTATTATATTTTATTTCCAAAGTTAATAAAAGTGTCCTCTTTCCAATGAACCAACCCGATTTGAAAAATAACTTTTAGTTTTTGAGAAAACTATGTTTGAAGTTTTGCTAAAATTTTCGATGTTGCAATTTTCAAAATTCGCTATACAATTAATTTCTTGAAGGATCCTTGTGGAAATAAAAATCAAAATCACTATCCGTTCCATCACTAGTTTCCATTATAAATCAAGAATATGGGGATGCTAACTTCCAAAGCTTGATGGTAATTTGATCCCCAAATATTACTAACTCATATCTTTGCCTCATGAACTGTATAGACTTTCTTTTCTCCTTGAATGGGAGATTTTAGCAGAGTGCCAGAATAAATAGAATATTCGTTTCTTTACCTTGCAAACTCCTCTGAATAACGGCTACGATTTTTTTAACTACAAATCTTTCATGAGTATTGTGCTATTTGCAGTGATTGATCGAAATTACAACTTTATACATGGAAAAGAATGTGAATATGATCTATTTACTTCTACCACCAAATACCAATTAATAATTGTTACTAAATGCGAAATCTAAGCAAAAATTGACTAATTCTAAGAATATGCTGAACATTAAAATGAAAATATAATTTTTAGAGTTATTAGAAAATTCTTATCATTCATTCAAAAAATTACATAACTTCCTGTACAAACAATAAAACAAAGCAACTCTTTCAAAAAGATGTTATCAGCAAAAACTTCACTTCAAACAAACGGGATTAGCACACATAACTGAAAGGCCTCTTCGTTGTTTAATTACTCTATCTAACAAAAACTTTCTCTTTTTAGAAGAACAAAATGAAGCAATTTCAGATGTAAAGCTAACATGTCCAAGTAGAAAGATACCAGTGCCCCTTTTAGCATTACCATGCGATAGCAACAATGATTGTCGAATTATGGGGGCTGGTCCAACATCATTGTGCTGCAGAACTAGGTGTTTAGACGGAGTTCCATTAGAAAGTAATAAAAAAAAAAGAAAAACGTTAATCAAATAATCTTTAATTTCATTTTGTAGGTAAAAATAGTATAAGAGATGCTGGAAGATATACACCAAAGAACATTAAATTAGTTTGTCCAAATCGTTCAGCTTCATTACCATTTTTTGCTTTACCATGTGATACAAATAAGGATTGCAGTACGCTTTTAGGACCAAGTTACGTTTGTTGTAAAAAAAAATGTGTTCTAGGAGTTCCACCACCGGAAGTTGAATTATCACACGAACGTACACGAAAATTAAACAAATTCTGCAAATATTGTTGTTAATAAAAATTGTTTTAGCGATTTTATTCGGACTTGTCGAAAGAATTTGTCCATCAGATCCAATTCCTGAATTATCAGAAATTAAGGAATGTGGGTCTGATCTAGATTGTGACCCAAGAATTTGTTGTCCAGAAAAACCGAATGTTAATGGAGAAGTTAAATTTTATTGCCGCACAGCTGCCCCTGATTTAGATAAAATACCAGCACCTAAATTAATTATTGATCGTAAGACAAATAAAATCCCCCCAAATAAATCTTTTATTTTAATTTTTTAGCTTTAAAAAGTGCTGTAAGTTACATGCAATGTACTCCACCTCCACCACCAAATCTAGATATTTTTCCAAAACCCTGCGAATCCAGCTTTGACTGTTTTCCAAATTTATGTTGTCAAGAAAGTGGAAGGAGATATTGTAGACCACCGAAACGGTCCCTACTGGCTTTAGTAGCTGATGTAACTCAACGACTTGGAACATCAGAATTTGCAAAGAAAGCAATAGAACGAATCACAACTTAAACTACTTATTATTTGTTAAGTATTAATGTAAATAAAACAATTATTAAAGTTTTAACTTAAAATAAATGGTGTTTTATTGTGAATTTCGCAATTATGAACCTACAATAAAACAATCATAACATCTTAATTGTGAAATTCTTGTTGGTGATCACTTAATCCAACTGAAACGCAAACAAAATTAATTAATATCTTACATGGGAAAGCAAAAACAACCCTTACCTTCTTAAATCCAATATCGTTGGCGTACTCCCTGAAGCACTGCCTGCAGATATTTAAACCGTATTTACGGATTAATCCGTGCCTATTCGAACATGCTCGGCTGAAAAATAAGATTAAAGGTAATAAAAAACATCGTTTTAATATGAATCCACGTGTGTTGTTCATTTAGAGGTTAGGTTTTTTATGTAAGCTGTTTACATTATTAAATCGTTTGTGGGGTGAAAATAATTAATATAGTGGTAACTTACCATGATCTGGACCCCTGTCCGTATTTTCTGGGGTGAGAATACCAAATATTTTGATGACCCATTGCGAACTTTGCGAGCTACAACTGGAAAAGAAGGAAATATGGCCGCTCGGAAACAAAATTGTCGATGCCATCTATGATGAATTATTGGAAGTTATTAAAAAAGGAGAAGGGGTGTTTTTAAAATATTTTTAAATAAATTTAAATAACAGAATATGGTTTAAATTATTGAGTCTGATTTTTTGGGTGGAATTTATAGTTGTTTTTGAAATTTATAGTGATTTATAAAAAAATGGTAAAAATTAATGATTAGGAAAAAACATCGCTCATGCCATCTATTATAAAATATAGGAACTAATCAACGTTTATGAATTTTTGTATGGTATTGATATACAGTCAATATTTCTCAACTAAAAGTACCAAATTTTAAGATTAAATTTAAAAAATGTTCATTAATTGCAAAATAAGTTGGGTGGACTAATCCGCCCAACTATCCAAGGTGAAGAAATCTCATTCTCAAAGGAAGTCAAATATCTAGGAGTAATCCTAGACAAAATCAATGGAATGGACATTTGCAGGGAGTTCTACCAAGTTCTACACAAAGCTAGATTATCCTTGTGGACTTGTCGTAGCCTTTGTGGAAAAACTTGGGGTTTTATCCTTGTCTCTATACGATTGTGGTTGGTGATGAAATTTGCTCAATCCACGTGTATGTTGTCCCTCAGAATGATTTTGAACCATTTCCACTTTTGTATTGCACGCAGTTACAACCACCACTGTTTTATTGTATTATATTGTACCATATCCGGCTACTAGAGAACGTAATAAGAGAGCTAAGAGAGCCAGAATTATAGAAGTTACTTTGTACCAAGTCCAACACAGCCTTATTATGTGCAATTATATTATATCAAGTCCTCTGCCACTGCTAACAGAGCATGCAACAACATGACATAGGGCTGGGTTCAAAATAATAGTTCCAATTAATTACTGATGTATCCTGTCAGTACAAGTTAATGATTGTGTTTTAGTGGTAATTAGTGGAAAAACTGTAAACGTATTGCGCTAGGTGCGGCATTAGATTAAAGTCGTTGCCATGAACCTCAACCAGAATATTCCTGGAATCGCCTTCTCGGCAATCAAATGAGAATCGAAGAGGTTTGGGATCTTCTTCAACACACCCTTCTTTTTGGCGCTTCAATTTGAAAACTAATAATTTGCTACTAATATTTCAATATTTTCTTTTTATATAATTTGTATATGTGAAAAGAATTTTACTATAAAATGTTAATCAAATGTTTACTCCATATAAGAGGTTATTTTTTGATAATTAAATTAAAAAATAATTTTATTTCAAGGTTAGGTGTCATATTAACGTATAAAGAGTTGCCTATCTTAACAACATTTTATTATGAAAAACTCGATATTTCTTCCATATAATTTGTTTTTAATTTAATTTGTTCCATAATATAAGGTATTTTTTCGAAATCTTGACAATTTTTGAATACTCCTAAATCAACTGGAACGACGGCATAACCTTTATCTTCTAACATTTTAATTGTCAACATTGTAGATGCTTTCATTATTTTTGTTCTTACAGAATATCGTTGATTAGAAAGACCTAATATTAAAATCCTGAAAAAAAATTAAATAATAAATAATAATGCGTAAATATATTTTATATTAGTACATTTGGTTTGATGAATCTATTGGTATATCTTCTAAATCGAGACCTGTTTGTTCTACATGAACTGGAAATCCACCTTTTCTTAATACAATAACATGATCTAAAACATAATTGTTTAAAATTTTATGAGAAATATGTAATTATTACCTATCATATGATGCATTTTGCTTGTTACGTTAGTACGAACAAAATTTTTCCCTCCAAAAACTGTGTGTAAAACACCTTCTAAAGGAAACTCATTACCAAAAAATGTATTATTTCGTAAAGTTCTCAACCATTCATTATCAGGTAATAAATCTTTAAATTCCGGTTTATACAATTTTATAAGTTGAGATAAAAGAATAATATTTTCAACATCATGAACAAAACCTGAAAATACTTTATTAATTTATTTTATTTAAAAAGATAAATCAAAACTTACGTTTCTGATAAATTTTATCTAAATAAACTTGATTAAAAATCTTTTCTAAAACAACCCGTGAGTAATTACCTAAAATACACAAAGAAGTCGCGTATCTCAGTAAATTTTCACGTTCTGGAAAATTTTTTAAGAAATATTTATGGTTAAATCCCATTAAAATTTTCTTTAGGTAGTCTACATTTTCTGATTCATAATCTGTCAAAGCAGCCGTACAAATTAATGTGTAAACATGAATCGGATCCCCCAATTTTAATAAATCAGGATTTTCTCGACACGATTTTAAAACGTATTCGAAAATATTTGGATTAAAATAATTCTAAAAACAAAGATTAATAATAAAGTATATTTTAATAATAATTTTTTCTTACGGTTTTTAAAACTTTTCTTAAAAAGTGAGTACCTTGTTCAAATCCAGTATCATTATCAATGATATAATTAGCACAAAAATCATAAAATTCTTGATTATAATAATACGGATTTCTGTTTGAAAATCGATTTGTTAATTTTGTAAGAGTCGATTCTAATTCATCGTAATTATATTCACCCAAATTAAACATGATATTTTTTAAAAGTTTTTTCAATAACGGTTCAGTATAACTTGCGGGTTGTAAATCACATACAGACCAAATAACACTCAAACTAATTCTTGGATTCAATTTTAGCCTTAATAAAGCTAATGCTATTATTTCAACACATTGACTGCTTACGTTATTTCTTGATGTAAATTGTAAACAATCGGCCAACAGTTTTGTATTGGTCCTATCTAATTTTAATGGAACCATTAATTCGAAAGCCATTGGTAAAGCCAATAAAAACGCTTCAGATAAAGGAGTTTTTTCAACTTTCGTCAATAGAAAATGTAGGAAGATTATTTGATGTAAAGAGAACTGATTTATGCTGTGTCTTAATAATTGAAGTAATGTTTGATAAATTGTACTATTCGATGGTACATTTAATAAAGTTAATACTTTTAACGCATCTAACACATCCCCATAATCAATTGTTCCAGCGAAAACTGTTAATTTTGAACAGAGTTTTTCAAATGTTGGATCTAATAAAATCTTATTAGGAGATGATTTGAATCTTCTAAAACAAAGAAAAACGTTTTGAATTTATTTTTAATTAGTTTGATTTCTTGCGACATAAATATAGTACACTTGCGAAATAGCCCCAGTAAATTGATGCATAAGTGGTTTTAGAATTCGATAACATAATTATGTACTGCAAATTTTAGGGTGATTACACTGCTATAAATAGATGTAGAAGATTTGGACAAAAATGAGGAAGTAGATGTGTTTCCGATGCAATTCAAGTATTGAATGTAGCTGTAGAATGGTCAAATCAAAATTTGACCTTGAACCTCAATTCCAGAAAAAGCAGTTATGGTTAAAACAATCCTTCCATCCAATGGCACTACAGTCCAATTCTGTCGTCTGTCCATCGCTATCGCTTTCCAATTATGCACCTGTAGTATAGTTCGTCCATCTCCACTTTATTCCGCCAGCAATCACCTGGTCTCTTGGCCCTATCTTGGCACTCTTTTGGCCACTCTTGAAACGTCTATTCTTTCTATATAACCAGCCCATTTGAATCTTTGCAGTTTCATATACGTTGAAACGCTAGCTTCCTTAAAGAGATTGTACAGCTCATTGTTGTATCGTACTCTCCATTGTTCGTCTTCTTTGACCGAACCATAGATTTTACATCGAATCTTTCTCTTGAAAGCATCTAGGTTTGATTCGGCCTTTTGTGACAGTGTCCAAACTTCACTATCATAGCAATGGGCTGGTCTTATAATTGTCTTATAAAGCTATATCTTTGTTTTTCTATACATAGAGGTGCCAAAATATACAAACTCATTCACGACTTCAAAATTCCACCCATTTGAGTCTTTGCAGTTTTATACAGGATGTTTCTGTAAGTCGTGGCATAATTTTAATCACAAATACAAGAGTCAAAATGATGATGTTTAGTGTAAGAAATGTTTGGCCTTAACCCATAAATGGCTATGATATGGAAATTTTTAAACATTTTCTTAAATATTTTTAATGTGGCTTGTGCTAGAAATATAATATTTGGCAAACAGAGCAATGTTATCATCAGAAATCGTTTAAGATCACTTTTGAAAATATGCAATCACGGGATCAATGCTATACAGGCTATTCACAGAGCCTATATCTTTATTATGTCGTAAACCCTTAAATTTTCCAACTGATTCTAAAAGCCTATTTCATATTTCATATCAATTTTCTTCAATCCAATTTCTCAAATTAATGGTCATCAGTAAAAGCATTTTTTCTAAAAACTCAGCATCAGTTGTACATCTTTCCATCATACTATGGCAAAACATTAATGAAAACATTTAAAATGATTTTCACTCTTACGAAGTAAATTTTGATTAGTCGATACAATCTTGATTTTGAAATGTTTTCATTAATGTTTTGCCATAGTATGATGGAAAGATGTACAACTGATGCTGAGTTTTTAGAAAAAAAGCTTTTACTGATGACCATTAATTTGAGAAATTGGATTGAAGAAAATTCAGATTTTACACTACGTTGGCTAATAACTCTACAAACTGCTTTGTTTACGATTTTTTTTCATGGGCATCTACAATTTATGACAGTATTTCAAAAAACGAGGTTGTATCTTTTTGCGAACAACTCCAAAGCGATGATACCTCTTATAATTGTCTTATAAAGCTGTATCTTTTTTTTTTGTATGGACGTTTCAGACTTGAAAAGGTTGGACAAGGTGTAGTACGTCTTCTTTGTGCTTGTAATTCTTCTGCGTAGTTCTTTCAATTCGTCCTTGATATTGGGTATAGTGGTGCCAAGATACATAAAATCATTTACGACCTCAAAATCCGATCTCCAAACGTTAGATCTTGCTTTCTCATTCTGTTACTTCTTCATTGTATGAGCACCTTTGTCTTGCTTTCGTTAATCTTTAGGCCCAACTCTCCTGCTGCTTTCTCCAGGTCTGTGGTTTCCCTCATTCACATTCTTCCCCATTATGTTAATGTCATCCGTATATCCTACTAGTTACTTTGACTTATGTAATAGTGATGAATTAACATCAAAAATTACAGAATTTTTTTAACTCTTACTAATGTTCATGTATACAGTATGTTAATTAATTATCGTATCCGACGTCATCATTGCAAGTATGCAACCAATATCACAGTATTGGTATTGCAACACACAAATCGCGTATTATAAAATAAATACTGTGATATTGGTTGCATACTTGCAATGATGACGTTGGGTACGTTAATTAATATGAACATTACTAAGAGTTAAAAAAACACCCTTATAAATATGAACGACCCACTATATTTTTGTGTCCACACTATCGCAAGTGTAATATAATAAGAATTCAAAAAATGTTGTTGAAAAACAACAATGTTTTTATAATCTAATAAGTTGAAGACGGTTTAACTTTGTTTTTAAAGGATAAGGTCAGAATCAGTGCCAAAATAACATCTATTTATAAGGAACAAAGACCATTTCCTTCTGAAATAACCTACCTTTCCTGTTTTTGTAACGTAAATATCGTATTTAAAGCGTGCATGACATGGTGCGCATTCATGATGGTATAATGGCTGTTTACCAAAGAAAAAAGTTCATCGATCGAACTAGATCCTTTGAGATTATTCTCCAATAAATCCACATTTTGATTATTAATATTTGGATTACTAGCTTTGATAACACCTAAAAAATCATATTAATCAACACTTATAACTTAAAGCTTCTTAAAGGATTTTTTTACCTTTATTAATCGAGGATGATAATAGTCTCAAATTATTATAAAGTTTTAATCTTTTCAATAACATAGACATTTTTATTGATGATCTGTAATAAAAGAAATTAAAATGAGTAACATATTTTATTTTTATGTTCAAATTGATTATTCAACAATAAAAAGTTTGTGCAATAAACATTGTTTAAATTATATTCCGTATTTGTACGACCTTCGATACACATGTTTAAATTTGGCGCTATTCCAGCTTATACGTCATTGGTGGAAATCCAGCGCCAGTCTTTCTGCTGTTTCATTTAATTGGTGGATGAGAAACATGACTGTTGGAATAAAGTATGTCTGCAAATGACTAGTGCAAAAATTGAAACGTAACATACAACACCTTAATAAGTTCAAGACTTCTTTATACATACAATAAACAAGTGTCAAGTGTTAAACGTATTTGTATGTGATTGTTTTTGTAAAATTTAATGTTAAAAAAAAGTGATAAGTGACGCAATGGAAAATATGGAAAAAGATGAACGGTTTCGAAAACTTGGTTTCATACCGCAAAAGGAAAACGTTTATAATAAACTCTTACCATATGCTGATAAATTAGACGATGAATCAACTAAACTATTTCAACAAATCAAAACTAACCTAATCAAATCGATTTTGGCTAGGGAAATGAGACCAGGTTGCGCTTTGTGGACATCCAGATTAAATAGGTATAAAATGAATTAATCAATTTCTTTAATTTAAATTATTTCGTTGTAAATCTTTGTTAAAAATGAAATTCATTTTTTCACTATATGAATATTGACAATTCACTCAAAGCCTCACTGACCCTCACGTGGTGACGTAGAGGGCGCTGTACGAATCTTCTGTCAATTTAAAATTTAATATAACTAAAACTTAATAATAATAATAATAAATTACATCGAATAAAACCATTTTAAATTACTAATAAATAGTAAATGTGTTAATAAATATTTTGTAAAAAAATGTATTTGATTTTTAGAGAATTTAATTTAATAATTAATATCAATAGATGGCGCTGTATACAAATATTAATTTTTAAAATTTATTTTTTTTCAGATATTTAAAAATTTATGGACTAAAGTTTTCGAAGGAAGATCATGTTATTTTAATTAAACTTTTTTATGAACTATTGACTATTCCAAATTTGGAACCAGCTAGAATAAGTAAATTTGCAGTTACTTTAAATCTACTGTTAAAGTAAAATTTAACTTAAAACATTGAAATATGAATATTAATCAATTCTTTTGTAGAAAATCGTATCTTTTAAAACAAGATGACTTGCAATTAGAATGGAGACCATTGTATGATCTTTGTGTAAGGGTTTTAGAACAAGGGAAATCTGGAATAGGGATGTATAGATATTCATCATCTTTAGAAAATTCGTTGGAAAATGTTATTCGAGCGGCGAGATTGTGAGTTTATGATTTATTTATTATAATCTGAAAGTTTTTGTTTAAAAAATAATTTATTAGGTACTTTCCGGTGAGTGCAACTCAAGAAATTCTCGACGAATTTCGACCAAAAATGTGTCCTTATAGCAATAATTTTATAAGCGATGCAATTGGTTATTTAGAAGTTTTTTTACCAGTTGTTACCAAGCCGGAGGAAGCACATTCCGGTTATAATTTATGGTTTGAAGAATTTATGAATCTATGGGAAGTTTGTCACAACGCAAACTTATGGGAAAGTGATATGGCTGTTTTAATGGGCAGATTAGCAAATTTTAATATAGGTTATATTGATTGGGAACCCTACATTCCGATAATGTATGTTAGGTTTCTGCGTACTTTACATTTACCTGTAGGATACAGAAAAAAACAATCTATGAAGCTTTATAAAATTGACATGTCAGCAATGACTCTTTGGATCGTCGCTACTTTAGGAGGAGGAAGCGAAATAGCATATTTTCATTTAGAAAAGTTTATGCAAACGCTCGACTCTTATTTCCACCCAGCAAACGCAGGAGTTTGGACGATGAAAATACGCGAATTTCTACGCAAAATTTCGTTTTATTTCGTAGAACGCGTTCATAGAGAACGTTATAAGAAAAATGATTGGAGACATAATTGCCGACCATCACATAACCTCACTAATGATGATATCGATAGATTTGTAAACATTTTAAAACCAGCTTTGGAACAGGCGATTTTTTGCAAACAAGGGATGCAAGATATTATGTTAACCTTGAATTATTTAGCTGCTTTAAGACCAGAAATTATTGTTCCATTGACCTTGGAGAAATTAGATGCCTCTTTGTTTAGCGTTACAGAACCACATAAATTAACTAGTTCAATGATGAGTGTGGTTTCAGTTTCAAGGTAAGTAGAAAAATCATTGATTTCAATTAACTTTAGAAACCAACCAAATGAGAATGATTCTCAACGTAATTTGGACCGAATCTTCAATACATTTGTAAAGATTGGTTCTGAATTTTGAGTTTTTTAAATTGTTTTTAACCCACACTTTGCTAAAAATTAAAAAACGGTGATAATTTTATATTAATGTATAAAAAAATTTAAAAAAAACATGGTTTTTGAGTTTAAGTTGGTAATGTTGACATTTGACAACCAAAATATAACCTAAAACGAGATATCACTTCTAATGTATTCAAAATGTTGTGATTGTGTTTAGAAATTGGTAAAAATGTAGAGACATATTTGCAAAGTGGATTTAAAATGTTTTTGTTATTTTTGCGGAAACTGTAAAGAAAAACAGTAATAACAAATCCCGGAATTTAACCCTTTTTATCCCAAGAAGTCAAAAATTTCAAAATACAGTCAGTAACTGGAATCAATTTTAGCAAAATGTGGCAGTTGGTAACATCGTAACACTTGAAAATAGAAATTTTAATTAACAATTAGAAACTGTCAAAACACAAAATGTATTCACCTGAAAAAAATGTTTCATATACATCTCCCAAAATAAGAGAAATTGTTCAATGTTTAATGTCCTCATCATTGTGGACCTTGTATTCGATGCTAAGAATGTGTGTAAACATCCATAGATAAAAATTGTCACATTGACAACTAGAAAAATTACTGACCCAATGTCACCAATTTGAACTGGTTCCATAAAATGTTACTAAAATCTCATTACAGCATCGGATGCTGTAAGGAGTCTCATTACAGCACCCGTTTGAGTACTGTTAGAGCTTTCATTACCGTCGCGAATTACAAAAAATATATTTTAGTGATTTTGCAGTATACAAAAACTTTTGTCCACGACTACCTTATAATATATACCTTATGAATGAGTTTTCTAAAACAAAAGGGTAGTTATTTTTCACGGAGTGAATAATAGCGGTGAATAATAATCATTATTCACGGACATTCACAGGTAACCAACTTGACAGACTAATAATAATTATTTAAAACGTTAAAATTTCAAAAAACGTCCATTTAACTCAATTTTTTAGGAGTTTCTAAATGTTTGACATTAAAAAAACCTAAACACATTCCTTTTTTTCGTATGATTTAAGCATAAATTAATTAATTTTCGTAAAGAAAACGGCGTTTTATAAAATTGACTTTTAATTTTGACAAATTGTTGTGAAGTTGGTTACAGTTATACTCTGTTTTTAAACCAGGAGGAGTAAACGCGAAAGTCAGATTTACACTAGGAAAAATCACCAGAAAATATCACTAGATATTTTGGCGGTAAATTTAAATAAATAATTATTATTATTTATTTATTTGTTATCGTCAACACTAAACATACAAATTAACATTGAAGTTATGAGTGTATTTATTTCAAAATATAATAAAGAAGGGTTTAAGAACACAAAATTTACAATAATGACACGAAACTGTCGAATTGTCAATAACCCTTTGATTATATATAATATGGATTGAGCCAACGAGAGAGATAGCTTGCGCAAGGAAACCTTCAAATTCAAAATTGCCTGTGTGTGAACCTTCCTCGCATTCAACCAATCACGTGCAAGGTCAATCTGGTGACAAATTTAAAATACTCCTCCTGGTTTAAAAACAGAGTATAGTAACATTGAATTTATGTCACATTGACGTTTAAACTTTATTCAAAAATTTATTTAAAAAATAAATTTATGGAATCAATTTCAATAGTCGTGGACAAAGTATAGTATTCTACTTGCATATAATGAGCTATTATTCACTCAGGTTAATTATGCCTGTCGCTACGCTTGTGACATAAACTTAACCTTCGTGAATAATAGCCCTCATTATATGCTGATATAATAATATACTATTATTGCTAATATAAGAATAATACATTTTTTATTATGTTAGAAAATAAGTAACACTTGTTTTAGCTAAATCACATTACGAATTATTCCTTTGAGTGGCGTACAAATTACTTTGGAAGGTAATATCTTTCATACAGTTACCCATCAATGTTAGAAAATAATCTGTAGGATTATTGCAACTTGCAAAAGTATCACCAATTATTCACTTTGGATAATCGTATCCTAGTATTTCAGTCTGTTTCTCCCGTTTTCTCCATTTTCTATCAATTTCTGCCTTGTTTTTCTTCTTGGGCCCTTTGTCACGTATATATACTATTTCTCATTTTGATTTGTAAGTTATTCTCCTTCTCCATCTTCCAGCATAGGTACCTCACTAGCACTAGTAGTAATAATGTCATCTTCTTGATTTTCTATGTTTGTTTGTTCAGAATTATCCAACGGGAGATTTTCTAATTCAACACAAATTTTTTCAGCCTCAACCAAAAGTTCTTCATCAGTCAAAGCTTTGTTCAAGTACCAAAACGTATCTGTATTATTCGTTTGGCACATTTTTACATCGATCTCAATATTGTACCTGTTATTATCCTGATGGTACGAAGCTGCAGGCTGTAAACAATACACAAAGCTACTTACAAATCACACCTAATAACCATTTAATAACCATCACTTTAAGCTTTGTTGTATCACATTTAAGTAAACATCTCAAAAACTAGAACTAATCTTAAAAAACGAATTGAATGAGTTAGATTCGGATTCCAGTTTCCTTAGGTTACTCAAGTTCAAAACCATGTTTTAGAAAAAAATAATAATAAACTAATGTGGATAATTTTATTTTAGATATATGGTTCAAGGACCTAGAAACAAATATCCTGATGGTCCAACACACGTTATTCCACTTTTAATGAATATTTTACCAGGAATTGATCCAAACGATATGAGAAAATGTTTTTTAACATTTAATTTCATAATAAATTTTTGCACTTTATGTCCTTTAGTAAACTGTTCCGAAGCAAGTACATATTACGATGATTTAACTGAAGAGGAGCACATAGTTTGTGAACAAACAGCGGATTTTGAGAATTTTCTCATGCAATTTCTCGATAAACTGTTTATGTGGATCGAATCGAATTCGTTAGAATTTACAAGAATGGAGTTGAGCGACCAACATTTTAACGATGTTAAAAGTAAATCTGAAGGTTTAGCTGAAAACGGTTTAATACAAGTTATGACAGCGGTTTTGACTCAATGTCCGACCGATTTATTTATAATGGCATTAAAGAAAACGTTTAATTTTGCAACAACGCGTATAATGGAGTTAAATATTTCCGCGAAATTAGTTGCAACGCTTTGTAGATCTTTTTCTAAAGTGAACGCCAAAGAAACTTTAAAACTTTTCGTTCCATATCTTTGTACTACTTTTGAAAGTTTAGCCGCAGAACATGGCGATGTTAAAAACGAAGAACGCCTTAATGGAGAACTTCTTTATAACTTATTGTTACTGTCTGAAGTTGTTGACGGTCGCGGTAATTTATTACCATACATTGATGATTTAACAAACATCTTAGATCAAGCTTTATACATAAAATGTACTGAAGCAAATAAAACAGCTTCTCATTTATTATACATCATTGTTAATTCTCTTTCGACAATAACTCCCGAAGAATATCGAAGTTTAACTCACACCTTTGACACTCCAATAAAGGATTCTTTAACTGTTCGATTATGGGGTTGTCCGGGCGATTTAAATAATCTTAATTTGAAATGGTACGTTCCTGGTGAAAGAGAAGTAAATACCGTGGAGATTTTAATTCATAAATATCTGATACCGGAGTTGGAAAAAATGGAAAAAGTATCGAACGGTGAATTGATTTTAACAAGAGATGATTTAAGAAAAAGTTTAAAAATTGTTATGGCTCTTCTTGGTGCACAATCTCTTATGCCAATTTGGAATGATGAACCAACACTGAAATTGTTAGTAATTTTATTAAATATTTCACAACTGGTAACACAATACTTATTAATTTATCAATATTTTTAAGGGGAAATACTTGTTTGGAATTATTACCTTTTCAAGTAAACATTGGTTATGATCATGAAATAAAAATGCCAGATGGTTCAAACGTTAGAAGAGCTATTCTTAAAACCATTCGTAAGCTTCAAAATTACATACAAAGAGCTGATGAAGGAGATACAAATAGTTTAAAAACTATTGTTTACGTAAATAAATTAAAAATAAATGTTTGTATTCTTATTTTTTTCTAAATTTTGTAGATTTACGATGTTTTATTATTCAACAAATATAGAGGTAACGATTTTGAATGGCACTGGAAATCATTCCACCTTTCAAAACGAACCATGGAAGATCGACTCCATCAAAATAAGAAACATATGAGACATATATTAATTGACAGAGTGATGTTACATCAAGAGTTTAGAAATGAAACGAGATTACGTACTTTTACAGAAACGCATAAAGAAATTTTATTGGCTTTGTTTGATCTTAGTGTCTCGCGTTATAGCCAAGTAAATAATCAGTTATTTAAATATAAACTTAATACATATTATTTTTTTAGGTCAGATCATACGCTCAAAGTAAACTATTCCTCATAGTTACAGTTTACCCCCTTTCGTGTGATATTTTAACTCCTTACATAAAAGAAATCCTCGAAATGGATAGCACAGAACATCACGAGAAATTCAAAGGTTGCTTATACCTTTTAAATGGGCCCAAATCAACTCCAATGATAGCAAGACCTTATTGGGGGTTTTTAAAGGAACTTTGGCCCGCTTTGGTGAAATCAAAACCGTCTGAAAAAATTTCTATAGTGAACTTAATGAGTAGTATAGTTGATGGGATTAATAGACATTTTCCAACTCTCGCAATCAAAATTGAAATGTCGGAAAAATCGCGAGAATTAGCTCACCATCTTTCAAAAACAATAACTGACTTTAACCTGAATGGGTTTCAATCGCATATTGATAATGGGGCGAATAAAGAAATTGAATTAGTAACGAATAATACTAAAATATATAACGAACTTTTAGAGAATTTACTTCAAAGTATTATTAACGGGTCTTTGTAAATATTTTAAAAGTTTTTACTAAATATAAATTTTATTTTATGATTTTTTTTAGACATTGGAGACATCATGCAACGTGTTTAACAATGATCCAATTCTTAGTTCACCCTGATATAAAATATAATTCAAACGTGATAAAATACTTCTTAACAGCTTCAATCAACGATTCAATAATAATAAGACACACCGCGATTCGCGTCGTTTTATATTGCATGATTCAAACTAAACCGAAATTTTTAAAAACCGATTTAGATCCGTGGAGTTTTGCAAAAACGAAAAAGAATAAAGTGATTCCCGGGATTCGTACAGATAACGAGTGGCTACTTTATAACGGGAAAACTTTGCCGAAAAATGAAGAATCTTGGAATGAATTAAGATACGTTCATGATCCATACACCGGTTTTTATAGTTGGCCAAAAACTCTTAAAGTTTATTTACCACCTTCAGAACAGCCACTTTTTGAAACCAGACGAAATCAAATGAGTGAACAAGAAAAAGAAATTTTGGATTTTTTTAATAACAAAGATAATGTAGATACGTTAATTAAGTTTTGGTCGATGGAAGAAAAAAAAGGGAAGGATACATTTAACATGCATCGATTTTCTGTGATAAAAGTAAGGCGAAAAATTTTTGTTTAATATCGATGATTTTAATTTTATTATTTTTTAGAATATTTTTAAAATATTCGATGATTCTTTATTAAACTTATTCATTCCACATATAGAAAGATTAGTTAATGATAGACAAGAACACAATCAACGTTGCGCTGCCGAATTATTAGCGGGAATTATCCAAGGTTCAAAACATTGGCCTTTCGAAAAAGTTGAAAAATTATGGTCAATTTTACTCCCAATAATACGCACTGCCTTCAATAATATGACTGATGAAACGGTGATGGATTGGAGTGTTTGTATATCAGTTGGATTGAATAAAAGGGATCCAAACAGATTACATTGGCTTTTAGAATATCTTATGAACGACCCATTAAATGAACCAACATCTTTCGTCAGTTGTTCGAGGATTTATCTCCTTCAAATCGCTTTGAATCAACAACCATGGCGAAACTCAGAATTAATTAATCGGCTGTTGGAATATTTTAAAAATCATTTATCACATCCGTTTCAAAACGTCCGAGAAAAAATTAGTTCTTGTTTGGTCAGTTTGTTTTGTAAAGATATCGTTTTCCCCGATGGGAATTTCACAAATTGTCCAAGAGTTGGAGATTTTTTCGATCAAATCATGCCAAAGTTAAACCAATTATACACAAACATGTTAAAAAATTTAGATCATTCCAATAAAGTTAATTCGAATGATGTTGAAATCGCGACAAATCGTATAGAAAAAATCGATTTAGAAGATAACAAAGAAGAATTTATACGCCTCTTTAAAACCGTTGTTAAATATGTAACTGGAAGCGTAGCTCGAATGAATTACTCAGCAGTTACAGAACATTACAATTTATTACCTTTAGCCTGTATTTTACAAAGTAACGACACCGATGATGAACTTAAAAATTTATGCTGCAATTTATTAGCTATTTTGGGTTGCACAATAATTTTAAATAAATACCTACCAGCGGCTTTAGAAGCTGCAAAAATTGTCTCAAAATGTCCGTTTTGGTCCGCAAGATCTGTTATAGCCGAGTTTATTTCTGTTTTGGTTTTCCATAACATGGCTATTTTTGTGGCAAATAACGAATACATCATGGAAGTACAAAGTATTATTTTAAATTTGTTAGAAGATGTTCAACCTGAAGTTAGAATTCAAGCTGGAAAAGTACTTACTGGTTTATTACATTGTAAATTTATACCTGATCCTTTAAAGTTACTTGTAAGTAAATAACTTAATAATTTGTAATTTTAATAAATTATTTGTTTTTTAGCAATCGTTCAAATTAAAAGCGAAAACAAAATTAAAACAGTCCAAATCAAATTTACAATCTAATGGTAATCAAAAAAGTTATTCAAATGAAAGTTTAAGTCAAAGACACGCTGGCGTGTTAGGATTGTGTGCTTTTATAAGTGCTCATCCTTACGATTTACCTGATTATATACCAGGAATTTTTGATGAATTGGGGGCTCATTTAAACGATCCTCAACCCATCCCCGCAACGATACGAAAAACACTGGGAGATTTTAAAAGAACCCATTACGATAATTGGGAAGTGCACAAGTTGAAGTTTACTGAAGAGGAATTATCAGTTTTGAGCGATTTAACAGTACCTCCAACATACTACGCTTAAAATTATTGTTTTTTTTATTGTTTAGTGTTTTTTATGTCTTAATTTTTATCTTATGTTGTTGGTTTTTTTCATTTAATGTATAAGTAGTTTCAATTGACGTGTCACAAAAAAGGTGTGGGTATTTAATGTACCATGGTTTTTATATTTTATTAGTGACTAATTGGAGTGACTTGATATTTATCCAAAAAATGAAATATGCACTTTTATATATTATTACTAGGTGAAAATAAAATTATTATTTTCCAATTATTTTAATCATTTATGTGGTCCTACGAGTTTTTCCGTTTATTATACAGGCAATTATGGCAGTGTACATTGTAAACCTCGCTTATCTGCAAGATAAAGAATAATAATAATAAAAAGAAGAGATCTGAAAATAGTGCTAATGTCTGAGGAAAATATTCCAGCAGATATTCCGCCGGTTGCGCTCAAATTCTACTCAAAAATTTTAGAGGAACAAACGGCGTTCAGAAAAAACAACAGACAGGAATAAGAATATATATTAGGCCTTCCTAGACCTAAAAGCAGCTTTCGACTACAACATATGTATATGGGAAGCTTTAAGAGAACTGGGGACAAGTCCAAAACTAAGAAGAGCAGTCAAAAGCGTATACCATAACATATTGGGAAGGGTTAGACTGACTGGAAAGACGTCAGAAGAGTTCAGAATGGAAAAGGGAATGAAACAGGGTGACAGTTTGAGCCCACTACTCTTTGCAGCAACATGGACAGAATAATAAAACAAGCCAAAAGACAAACTACGCAGACGAGATTGGGGTACCACAACCTAACCTCGATCTACACTCGAGACCTTATATACGCGGACAATGTTCTACTAATGTCAGATAGAGTAGAAGTCCTACAAAGAACATCCAAATATGGAATATCTGGCTATAAGAAGTATAATGGTAATAAACAAGAAGAAAAGTAAGATTCTACACATCACAAAAGAAGAAGAAACGGGAGGAAGAACGTATTGACGTAAGAATAGAGGGACAACGACTGGAGGTGGTAGAAAACTACGAATATCTTGGAACCATAATAAGTAAGGTTGTAAAGATAGATCAGGAAATGCGTAGCAGAACAGCAAAAGCAAGTGCAGTCTACTATCAAATAAACAACACCCCCATAGGCAAGAAGGAATTGAACACTACAGGAAATATAATATATCAAATCATCTATATACCCACACTTGGAAACTTTGATGATGTTGGACAAGCACAAATAAAAAATAACAGCAGCAGAGATGAAGCACCTACACAAGATATTTGGGAAAACCAGAAGATATAGGGTTGCGAACAAGAATATCAAGAATAAACAAAAAAGAAGAACTAAGCATAAACCCCCTAGTACAGGAAATAGAGGGAAAACAACCAAGTTGGTATGGTGATCTGAATACCTAAAGAAATGTTTAACATGATTCCAGATGGAAAGGAAAAGTGTGGTAGACCAAGAGCCCAATGGGAGGGGGAGATTCAGAAGATGGTTGAAACAAGTGGGATATAAATGGGGGCAAGAAAAAGAAGAAGACATTGCATACCAAAAAAATTAAAAAAATCAAAATAAAAATAATTTATTTAAACGAACCACATTTAATAAATTGTTAAGCTATCACTGTTCTGTTTTTTTTTACATCTTTTTACTACATTTTGTCTTTATTAAAATTACTTAAAAGATAACTTATACAACACTTCACCACTCATACCTAAACCAAGCAATGTTAGCCCTACAGTAGCTATATAAATGATTTTATCTCCCACTCCTCCTTTGAGGTATACAGGGACATGATCTTCAATCTAAATATGTTTAATTAAAAAAGAAATTACACAAACTATCATATTTTTATATCTCATATCTTACCCCAAAATGCTTTTGGGCTTGCTTTAATGCTGGGAATTTGGTAGAGGCGGTTTCACCAGTAACGCTTGAATTACGGGCAGCCGTTTGTCCGAAATGACGAACAAATCTTTGTGCTAACACCAAAGTTTTCTGAAAAAGAATTAAAACTTAATCTGGGCAATGATGTATTATGTAATTGATCCTAACCTATACAAAATTATGGGGATAAAAAATTATTATTAAAAAACGTGAATTAAAGCTTATTTTTTGAACTTAAATTCTTTAGGCAGTTTTGAACTTCAAAAATGAACAATACTTACCCCGGAAGTGTTCATGGTTACTTAAATGCGAATTCTAGCCAAAAATTACTTTATCTAGGATTTGGGAAATTCCAATATGGTGGCATTCAACGTGAAGTTAGTTTCATATTAATCAATATCTTCCTTATTTCTGATTGGTTTAAATTTAAATCAACATCGTGAAGTTAGTGGTTATCCAAAATATGGATTGTTGGTTGTCAAATTATCGAAATCACTTAAGTTTAGAAAAGATTATTTACGAGATATCACTATGATAAAATATGTGCAATTGATGAATATCTAATGATATGCAACCATTTCAAGAATTAAACAAATTGTTACGTCAGTTAGATTAGCAGAATTTTTACTCACAAAAAATATTCGTCACTGGGACTATAAGAAGCTCTCAATTGCTTCTTATAATGCCTAAAAAATGAACTTGAGACCAAACTTCTATATTAATCGTGTTTTCTCTACCATTTTAAATAATGAAAATTGATACATATACAGTCTCTTCAAACTTTTTGTACGTTTTTTTGATATCTTGTACCACAGGGGAGTATTTAAGATTCCTTTAGTAATGAGATTTTAACAGAACACAACAAAAATAAATAAAACAAACAAAATAAGCATGAATAATAATATATTAAACAAAAATGAAGTAAGTATAAGTATTAGGAATGACAGGTTAATCTAAATAAACGAAACGCTACCATTTTAAACAGCTCTCTTGCTCCTCAAAAGAATCTTGGAATCCATTCGATCAACCCGCCCCATACAATGAAGCATTTGATTTTTGAAGTCTTTTGGATGAAACGAAGGAACTTTAGAAGATCCAGCATTCTGATTTCCCTTCTTCTTAACAATATCCATCTTATTACTAACACGTTCTCTAGGAGAAATTGATTTCATCTCCCAAGAATCTGTACTGATACTAGGTACAACTCTTTTAGATCTTGTTGCAGTTTTAAAATTACGATTGGGTAAAAGTTCATTGTGAGAACTTGGTTTCGCTTCCCAAGATTCATCTTTAACATTTGTGTAAGGAAATTGGAGTTTTTTAGATTTAGTTTTGTTTTTATTGTCAGATTTGGATAAAATATCTTGAAATTTTCTTGGAATTTCGGACAAAGACGGAACAATTTTATCCGGACGAACTGACCAACCATCGCAAGATTCTATTTTTTGTTGTTTTTGTTTTGGTTCATCTTCGATTGGTTTTTTTATTTCTCGCTGTCTTTTTTGAATTGGCTTTTCGTTATTATCATTTTTATTTAAGATTGCTTTGCTTCTAGTTTGTATTGGGGTCTTTTGTTTGTTTTCTGAGTCTTTTTTAACTTTTTGCTTATTTTCATTCATAGATATTGTTTGGGATTCAGTTTCATTTTTGTTGATTTGTTTTAATTTCTTTTCCTTTTTCGGTTTTAACTCTTCTTTGGTAATTTCTTGATTATTATCATTTTCTTTATTTTTTTTAGTTTTATTTCTTAATTTTTTCTGTTTAGTTGGAGAAGGAGACTTGTTATTTTTCTTAGGACATAGTATATCAATATTAAATTCATCTTCTTTTACATCAAGATTTTTCTTACTAGGTGTTATTTTTGTTGATGAACCAACATGTTCTTCAAAATCATCTTGAGTTGGGTTAGATTTAGATGGAGACAATGAAATTGGTTCAACATTAACTTCATCATCGTCAGTTTCAGTAACTTTTCGTATTTTTTCAGGTGACATCCCTTTATCAACATTCGCAGGTTCCGTTGACTTTCGTTTATTAGTTACAAATACTTCATCATTTGGGTCTTCTTCATACCCCAATGAAACATTTAATGATATATTACCAGTTATTTCATTACTGCTTTTAATTCCAGTACAAAACATTTCAACAACTTTAGATATTCTTTCAGAAAGATTACCATGTTCAGCTTCTTGAAGTGAAATATTTTCTTGAATAGTAATTGATGATTTCCTCAATGAATTTCTTCTCGAAGTATTCATTGATGCATTAAAATTGTTTGTATCTTCAGTAACAGTGGCTGCTGGCTCATTTTCACTTTCACTGTCATCAACGCAAATAGTAAGAATCTCCTTGTCTTTATCATCTTCAGCGGGCTTATCGACCGTTTGTTTTTCAACTGGAATAAGTTCAGGTTCAACTTCTTCACTACTTGAATCATCATTTTTAACAATTCGTGAATATTTCTTATCAACATCTCCTCTCTGTCTTTTTTCTTTAATTTTAAGATTATCATCTTTGAAATACTCTTCATTCCCAGATAATAATTCGTTATTTTCTTCACCATCATCAATAAAGGAATCATTTCCATAACAATCACTTTCTTCATCGGTATCTCTTTCAGTTGATATTGTATTTATTGATTCACCATCATCTGGTATATCATTACTATTGTCAAAAGCATCAATTTCTTCATCATCTACTTCTTCAGCCATATCATCAATAAATTCATTTTTGTTTAATTCTTCTTCATCATTTTGTGTATCATCTTCATCATCATCCTCTTCTGAATTTTCATCATCATCTGTTTCGACATCTTTATTCTTTTCTGCAATATCTTTATCATTCGTTTCAACATCATCATCAAGTATTTCAACATTAATATCTTCTGTATCATCACTTTCTTCATCTGATTCGTTATCATCAGAAACTGATTTTTTATTTTCTCTAGATTTACGTGAATTAATATCTTCATTGGTACTTTTTAAAGTCGATTCTTTATCATCAGAAATTGATTTTCTATTTTCCATAGATTTACGTTTTATTTCTGAATTCCTATTTTCTTGAATTGATTTATTACCTTTATCTGGTTTCAACGAAGATCTTCTTTTCTTGATATCATCCTTAGTTGCTTCAATATCAGTAGCTGCATTACCTTCAACTATGGATTCTAATTTATTTTTATTTTCGCGAACAATTTTACCATCGCCCGATTTTGTTGATATATTTTCTTGAATAGATTTCAATGAAGATCTTCTAGGTTTGTTCAAACCATGAGAAAAATCTTTCATAAATTGACTGATTTCAGCTAATTCGCTTTCATCAATTTCTGAACTTAAAAGAGATTCTTGACTAGAACTTTTTAATGATGTTATTGATTTATTCGATGGTTTTCCCTCATCTTTTGATTGTTCAGAATCGTCATTCTTTGAAGTTTCACCAAACGATTTTGATGTAAGAACATCATCTTTTGTAGATATATCATTTTTTGTATCTTGTGAAACATTTTTATCTATCTTTGGTGATTTAAAATCACATTTTGAGACGACAACATCATCTTGTGATACATTTCTTTCTATTTTTTGAGTTTCATCATCTGATTTTCCACCCGCTTTTGTAGTTTCATTATCTGATATCTCAACTTCTGATACAAAAACATCATCTTGTGAAACGTTTCCATCCGTTTTCGAAGCTTCATTATCTGATATTTCACTTTGTGATACAAAAACGTCATCTTGTGAAATGGTTACATTTATTTTCGTAGTTTCATTGTCGGATTTTTCACTTTGTGATGAAAAAACATTATGTTTTGAAACATTTTTCGCTACTTCCATAGTCTCATCAATAGATTTTCCATTTTCAGATACAAAAAGATCTGGAGAATCCGTATTTTCACTCCCCTTTTCATTATTTTTTTCAACTTCATCTTCTTTTGATTGATCATCAAGAGATTGTGATTTTTCTTCAATAATTTTTGATTTAGAATCAGCAATATTTTCGGTTAATATTTCTTCATTGCTAGTATTAACTGCATCATTAAAAGCTTTCTTTTGCAGTTCCAATTTCTTTGATTCTATCACTTCTTTAGACACATCTAGGTCTTTTTGAACATCAATTACTTCAGTTTCAACTTCTTGTATTGAATCTGCCAAAGATTTATTATTTTTTGATGATTTATCAGTTTCAGGCGTTTCAATATCATCAACACATATTGTCGACATATCTCCTAATTTTTTGGATGATTTATTCGGCGTTTTGTCTTCATCACATTTTAAAGGTGGTTTCATTGGAGTTATTAAATCGATTATTACTGGTGATGTTAAAATTTCGCTTTTAAAAGACTTCTTTAGATCACGCTCATCTTGGGATTTATCCATTTTTTCAGATTCTTTAGTATCAGAAATAGATTTTTCATTTGGTGTAATGAAAGGAGATTTATTATTAATTTCTGTCGATTTTTTATTTCTCGTCATTGGCGATTTATCAATATCTTTAGGTGTTTTCGTTTCAATATCTACAGTTGATTTTTTTAATGGAGATTTATTAATATCTTTTGACGTTTCAGTTTCAACATTTTTAGTTGGTGTTCTTTTTGGAGAATTATTCATTTCTTTAGATATATTATCTTTTACAGTATCTGGCGTATTTACAACAGATTTGGCTTTATTTTCATCATTACTTTCTGAATCAAAAGATGGGCTAATGGATTTAAATCTTTTACGAATACCATCGTTATTATCAGATTTAGTACCACCTTCAGACTTTCTTTTTGTTAAGCTTGGAGATGAATTAGATTTGTTGGCACTAAATTCGGATGTTGAAATATTAAATGTTTCTTTAACGTTAATATTTTCTTTATCTGAAGAACCACTGTTATCAAGTTTCTCTTTTGTTTCTTCATTGTTATCAATTTTAAGTTCTAAATTTAAATTTGACACCTCAATATCAGTTTCATCCGCCACGTTTTCGTTATCATTATTCTCTGTAATTTGAACCCCCAAAAATTCAATGGAATTTTCCTCTACAATTACATCTCCTTCTTCAATTACAACATCAACAACTTTATCTTTGATACGTTCCATGATTACAACGGGCGATAGGCTTTGCATTTTACCGATCACTTCATCTTTATTAACTTCTTTAGTCGTCTTTATTTCCTGTTCTTCAGTTGCAGTTTCGGATATTGTTTCCATATTCGTTGGTTTTCCCTCGCCTTTTTCTTCAACCACTTTTTCTAATGTTGGTTCAATTGAAGATGATCGTTTTCTGGTCGTTCTTCTTTGCGGTTTTGGAGGTTCACTTGCTTCCTCAATCTTGTCTAATTGCGGAGGTTTATCGCTGGTTATAGAACTTCGACGTGTTACACGACGTGTTGTGGGTTCAGTGGATGTTGAAGGTGGGTTATTTTCTTCATCCATACCAGATCTAGAAACTAAAGGAAAAAAAAACATACAGACTTTAGTTTATTAAGAATTTGAGGCATTACTTATCAATAAATATTTCAATTCTTTATAAAGTTATTTAGTGGTAAGAATTTAATCATATAGTTCCAAGATATACACAATTTTAGTTTTTACCTCAATTATGTGGAAGGTGAACTTTGCAAAGAGAGTCAGTGCTTGGAGTTTTTGACATAGAGATATACACATTAATGAAAACTAATCATGTGTGTGCGATCAACACAGCATATGAAGAGGAAATTATGGGAGGGAGTAGAAAAAGTGGGGTCAGTTGGACAACTACTCCCTCTAACATTTAACAAGGCATTAAAATGATATCAAAGTGAAGCAAATTAATCGTGGTTTTACAACTTCATTGGAAATTAGATAATTGATGTTGATGTAAAAAATGCATATAGCCAAGCTCAAATAATAATTCCTGTCTTGATCCAAATTATATTCTATAACATAGAGTTAACACAATCAAACAAATCAACATGATCCAATAATGAGCTACAAACAAAAGGAAATTCAAAATTAATCCAAAAGAAAACCACTTTTAAAGTACTATATGGTTATCTAACTAAGATATTTGATTTTATAATCAAAGATATAAACAATGATGTTGATGACTATATAAAAAGCAAATGGCATTTCTTTATCAATAATTAATAATTTTTAGATAGGATTTAAAAGAATTGAATCACATTGTAAAATATATAGATTGTATGGAAATTTCCACCAAACCAGGTGTTATCACCCTTCTTTTCTATTTACAAGAACCCTCATTGAATACACAGGTAAAAGAAAGGTGACTCAAAAAAAACAGCTGTTCTATTCTTATAAAAAGTATAACATTTTTAGTGTTATTTTCTTATAAAAAAGATTCTAACCTCTCCGTGTTCGGGTGGTGACAACTGGAGTTGACTTGTGACTATTTTCCATGAGTAGAGTCGTAGGGGACTTGCTCGCAGATCTAGTGCTTCTTGATGGAGTGTGTACCTCCTTATTTTCTTGCAATAATGTTTTTCGCGATAATGATTGACTGCTGGAGTCGCTGCTGTTAGAATTTCGTCTAGTAGTGATTTTTCCGCCAGTTGAAACACCAACTGTTGGGGTGCTGGTGGCTGCAATGCGCGTGGACCGTCTGACGGGCGATTCCACGACATGTTCTTCATCTAAAAGCTCTTTTACCGGAGTCCTTCGACGCATTTTAACCTATAAAATCGCACAGAATAAATAAAGACAGTTGTTATGAAGTAATATGTTCAAGTTTCGATCGATATTTTTTTGGAGACCGGTAGACATTGTCTTTTTGTAAAGGTTAAGCATGCGGTTTTTCTAAAATAACCCGTAAAATAGGATAAGACAACTTATAAATTACCTTTAATTACTAAAAAAACTATATTTGAGATTAATACAAACAGATTAAAACCGATGGACTGTTAAACAATTTCGACACAACGATTTTACAAACTGTACGTTAACGTTTACAGAAATTACACGTGCACTGTGAATATTTGAAATGACCGTTGACTGTGGTCGGGTGCTGCGCTTGCGTCTAAACGAACATATTTTCTACTGCTGGAGCCTGCGCATAAAGTAGTTGTAAAATATTGGTGTAATAAGGGTTGCAAGACTTGCAAGGAAAGGCGCACGTTTAGTCACGTTTTGACTACTATTGGGGTGGTATCTCGTGAGCGAATTTTTGAGAGTGAACTCTCGCGTTCAGTCGCAGTTCGTGTTGTCTAACTATTTGCGCCGCGAAATTTAATTATGTTAAAAAATCGAATATAAACATTACTCATTTAAAGCTCATTTAATATTCTTCGCAAAAAACTTTAAAAGTTTATCAAAAAAAATGTATTTTCGATACTTTGCGGTGGTTTGTTTTGTGTTTGTAAACATCGTGAATAGAGGTATGTATGTATGTTAATATTTAAACTATATTTTTCTTATAAATTGATTTAAAATTTTAATTTCTTTGTATTTTTAGTTTTTCATTTACTCTGTTTGAAAAAAACAGTGTAAATAAAAAAATAGTTTTAATTTAAAAAAAAAAATTTTGACGGCTATAATGACAGATGTCAAAATGAGGTTAAATATTTTTGAATCTATAGTGATACAATAAAGTCTACATACACCCCAGAAAATGATAATATCTCAGCTTCTGAAATGTAATTTAATCAAATTGTTAAACGAAGGATATTAAGTATAAGTCAATATTGTAAAAAATGGTATTACTTAGGACCTTTATAAAATTTATGTTGTTTTCCTGATTTTTAGTAACATTTTCAGTAACTAACCCAGTACATATTTATTATAAAAACGTGCTACAAACTAATGAAATAGAACAAAACACTTTTTCTAGGTAAACAAATGGCAAATAAACGCAAATTTCTTGCGATCATTTCGTCAATGTGACATATTTATTTCAAAACATGATAAAACAAAACTCCCTGTTAATTTTGCCAACTTTACAACAATTTGACAGGTATTATAGAGAAAAAACGAAATGTATAACTTATTATTTATCATGAAAAACATAAAACATTATCATATTCAAGGAAGATTGGTGACTACATTTTATCAGGGAATTTCAAGATATTAAGATTCTAGAAATCGCAGGAATAGTTCATAATCAATTATACCATGATAGAAGTGTTCCACCAGATTATGACCCGTCAATTGATAATCTCCAAAATGGTAATGTCATCACCATCCCTATCCAATCCAGCCATGGATATACATAGAGGCTACAGCGCAAGGCAGGCGAGCCATAGGGAGACCGAGAAGAATATGGGAAGAAACAGTGATGTAGATTGCGGCTAGCCGAATTCAAGCGTCTTGCTGGAGAGAGGGAAAACTTCGGAAGAAGAGAAAGAAGAAGAAGAATCACAAACCCGATCACAACTCAGGCCACATAATAATGTCAAAATTTAATTGTTCAAAATCACAACCTAACTTATGCCAATCCAGATCAATTCCACCTGGTCTAAACACATCTGCGATATTCCTGAAAACCTTGAGAGAGTCATAGTTGCAGTTCTTAGAAACCTTCCATTCGTTTTCAAGTGGTAATAAAGCAAATGTTAGAACTATTCACACTACCATCGTACACAAGAAATTATAAAGACATCATGGGGGTTTATACTTAATGACATGAACGTATAGTTGTTTATTAACTAACTACATTTTATTGTAAACCTCATGCTTTAATAGTTTGTAGCAAATCGTAATATATCCGTTATTCTTAATTGTACGAATAGCAAATATCATTAGTTGTATCGTAGTTACCAGTATTAAATTAGCTACGACGCGACGTTCTGGTTCCTATTAACACAATCATGGATAAAAATCATCCTTCAAAATGTATACAAAAGAATAAAATGTAAACAAATTTTATTAATAAAAATATAAATATTAATTTAACATTGCTACTATAAATATAGCATATTAATTTATTTTAAAACAACATTTGCATCCATATTCAGATGCGCATACACCGTTATTAACAATATTTATCTTCAATAACTTGATTCCTCTCTGATAAAAATAACCTTCAAAAATGCTTTTAATTTAATGAAAACTTATCGTTATGTTATATGTCGAGCATGTTGTACTAAATCGTTTAACCCGTTCTTTGATGTACATGAATATACTCGCATTGTGGTGAGCTGCCATCGAATACATTCACCGGGCTAATTCCACTGCTCGAAACGGAAATTTTCACGTGCGATGTATCATCATGATGTCCATTACAGGTTGATTATTATTTGTCACCTCACTCTATAAGCAATGAATTTATGAAGCTTTAACTGTTAAAGACGAATTCATTCGCTGATAATTGATTTTATTTATTGATGCACACGAATAAATTTTTCAAGAAGTCGTTGCTTCTTTATCTCGTAAAAATGTTTAAGTGTTAGAAATCGATGATGAACGAATAGCTTTTAGGAATATTGGTAAACAGTGACAGTGAAGATGTTATTGCTAGTGGTTATAATTTTATCAACGAACATTGCATTTAAGTGTTATCAAAAGTTAAAGCTTCACAATAATACATATAAGCCCATCTTGCTACTGGTCATGGCGATAGAAAGAAACACAGCATATCCAAAAAAGGAGTTTTAAACCAAATTTTTATAGTGAAATGAACTCCAAATGCCAAATGACCTATTAAACATGCAGACCAACAGCATATCAAGATCAACTAATCAAATTTGTAATTCTACGTCCTCTTTGTATCAAGCAGACTGAAGAAGTAGCTTATCAACTAGATGATATATTCGCCTATTTGGAGCACCTAGTAAAGTACATTCTGATACAGGTTGGGAATTTGTAAATTTTGTTGGTTTTTTCTATGTGGAGTGATGTTAAAATGGCAAACTTCGACATAGCCAGTCACTGAGGTCAGGGGAATTTGTTAACTAAGATATTCAAAACATGATCACATTTTACAATTAGATCGAAACCAAAAAGAGATTGATCCGAATTTCTAAGATTTATTCAAGCAATCAAAAGCAGACTCCCATGAAGTCATAAAACGTTTACCTTACGAGGTAGTGTTTGGATATCCAATGAAACTGGGTCTAACTAGTTCAAAACAACCATCCACCATACTCAAGAGCTTGGAAAGTGTTCTGACATATGATTCTGGAAAGGTGTTTTGCCAGCTGATACATTGAAAAATGTATAGCAATGACCATAGGCTATAGCGGGACATTCGGTTTATGGATTTTATGTTATCCATATATTCTTGGACAACCTGGTTTAATATTTCTAAAAGATTAGATAGAAACATTTTTATTATTAGGAACCTCCACGCTTTATCCTCCACTAATTGAAAACGATTTTTCTACCTTTTTTGCATATCAAAATTGAAAATCTTTAACATTTACATCGAGCTTTATTCCATTTATCACTTTGATATCTTTTCAATAAACCCAAACTCGCACATCCACACAGGATTTGCTCCCACACGACTGCCATTCGTTGTAACACGGCATTTCGCAAAATTAAACGTACACGATACGCTTTGTCCGAGATTGTAGCTCGACGCGAGGTAATTGGATTGGAACGCAATTACGATAGCAATTACCGGAAATAGCTCGCGATTGTTTTGCGAAATGACTGCAGAACTTCCGGTTCCCTGAACCACCTCTATCTGGTTGGCGTTCGTATTGCTAAAGTGTTTGTTCGGAAGCACGATCCAAAGGTTCTGCGGAGTGGGCGACAAGGAGGCGGGAAATTTGAAATTAAACAAGTTGCTAATGGTGTGTGCCGTCGTTGTGTTTGTTTAGGAGTGTTTGGAATTACCGGGGACGGCTTCTCGACATATAGGTTACGTATACAAACGCTTTACTTAGGGGGATACAAGAAGATTATAAAGCAATTTTCATTAGGTAATCGGATTTTTTTTACTTTTCTTTTAATTCTTTTAAATTTTATCTTTATGTTAATAATATATGTTTTTATTTTTTGTATTGCAGCTGCGTACGCGGATAAGGAGGATGCAAGCGAGGAGGTAAGTAAAATTTATTACCACCGTTGGGATAATTAATTTTTTAATGTGCGACGTCGTTGCTTACGCCCGAGAGCACATTAATTACACATACTATGGCGGCAACGAAAATATTACCAAGTTCATAATACCGGTACAATCGAGTTAGGCTCAGATAAATTAAAAGTGAGGTTCATGAGAGCTATCAAAATAGATTGTGTCAACTTTACAAATTCAATTATGACAAAACCTATCTTTGTTTATCGGCTACAATCATATTATGTACAAGTACAGCTACAATCAGTTTCATGAAAATTGATTTTCATGGAAAAAAACACCGAAACTGGAATTACAGTACATATATAATTTACCACAATATTGATAAATAACATATTAAATGTTATTCATAAAAGTATTGCAATTAATTAGCCGAATTAATCATTAGAAGGTTTTGATTTGCCATCCATTGAACTTTTCGAACGAATGCCCAACCTTTGAACTCAGCAAATATGTTAACGCTAAAGCATAGAGAGAATCGGGGAATTATCCAGCGTAAATTAAACCGACGTAAATGTAAAGCTACCAATATTTTCAACAAGTATTGGAACACACTTTATTTAACATTGTGTGCAGATACGAGATCATCCTATCGCGTGTCACACTGGATACCAATAAAAGCAACAAGTCAAACATGTCTATTGTAAATTCTGAACTATTTTTAACCAAATAATAATATGTCAAAACAATTCGCTATTCAAACATTTTTGTTAGCTCGACACCAACTTTATACGAGTCTCATCAATCTGACACCAACTTGTGCGGAATTATGACTCAAGGTGTGTTTTTGCTCTATAGTTTTCGTAGTAATTCTATCTGCATGGAACTTCCAGTGTGAGGCAATTGTTGATTTGAATTGACTTTTGATTTGATTATTTTGATCTATGGTCTGTAATTAGCTGAATTGGTGTTGGCTCGAAATGAGGAAATTGGTTTAGTGGCTTTAGGCGTTCTTGAAGTAAAAATATTAGAAGCAACTAATTCATTCAATGCTCGTTCTGAGGCAACATCACATGGTGAATACATTCCGTGGGCAAACCATAGACTGCATAGACGAGATGTAAAATTGAGGTTGGATATCAAATTTCGAAGCTAGAACTGTTATGGTTAAACAGAATGCCTGAACATCAGAACATCAATCAGTTGTCAATTATACCGTTGGTATCTTTACACAAAATTTAATAATTATTTATGTGTCGACATTATTTATTAACGTGATTCTTGATTTCTTTTTTCATGTCTTGCCATCAATTTCAGTGTGTCTTATAATGCCACAAAAAAATTTAATTATGTTTAAGTTGAATAATTTAGTTTTATCAATTCGATTTATTGAATTTATAAATTAAATTGTTATTAACTCCATCATCTTTCTGCAATTAATTTAATGTAATTTGCCGGATTAATACAGTTTTAAAAAATTTTCGTAAAACTTTAAGATAACCGTAAAATGCAGCAACAGATAGTGTATAGAATGAATATACTGCGAGCAAAGAGCCACACGATAACATCTCGTTAGGGGCAAATAAGATGTGCAGCTACTATAACGAGCGTGATGTTACCAAATGGAAAAAGAAAATCCCTTTGACAAAGATAAAGAGATGGTATCAATGTTACGTGTGTCGTTATGGTTTTATTATTAAATGGTGAAATTGAAGTAGCTGTTTGAAAAATATTTGTTGGTTTAAATCGGGTAATGAGAAAGGTAATTCTACGATTTACAAAAAAAAGTTAGAGTTATATTGATTTTTATATTGTAAAATGCTTCACCTAACCTTAATACAGTATAGGTAAAAAAAATCTATAAAGACTTCTAGGAGTCATTATTAAACATACTACGTGAAAATAAGACGGAGATCAAGTAGATCAAATATTCCTTCTATCGCTACTTCCGGAATTTAAGAAATTCGGCAAAGACTAATAGAAACTTATGGCTAAGACAGAAATTATGAACGTAATGAGTTTATACCGTTCTATTCCGTCTTCATCGCCGAGTCAATAATTACCAACCTCAACCATGCACTTCTTTTGCTAGTTAATTAAATTAAGATGTATTACCATTTGCAAGATCCGCATCATGGGATGATGAAACTTCGATATCAAACGTATCCAAATTAAAGTCAGAAAGATATAAAAACTCGTATAACTTATTGTAATGTAATTGAAGAATTTCATATGTTGGTCCTTCAATGATTCATAAAGTTTATAAAATTGACCATTAAATAGTCTCTGACTGATAAAGGCTAAACCCAAAAATGCCTGCATTTCGTTGTTCTTCTTTTGATAATAATCAACGCACAAACACATGTGAATCAATTATCCAGTCGATAGTGTGAAATCTCATGGTAACTGTTTAATTAAGCGATTTGAAAGTTGGACAATAATAAAGTCGTTAGTGTACAGGTGTAAAAATTTCGATGGGTTTGCAGGGTATCTCAGTTATTATGAAAGATAGAAAGTTGCGGCTTTCGCGAACCTGAGCTACTTTGAGCTACCCTGTACATTGCTGTAAAGTGAGAAAAACGGTCTATCATCATCATCTGATAATCTAGCTATAGATAACTATCATCATCTTTTTGTTACGAATTGGTTCGCTTTTGCTGGAATACATGATCTATTGTCTTTGATCTTGGTAATTCGTGACATATAAAGGATTTTCTTGTTGCTTTTTCTTCTCTGCATGAGCTATATACTTTAATTGGAAAAGGTATATAATGCATATATTGTTCTGATAGATGCCTCAATTTTTTATGGCAGATTTCGCCTGTTCTACATTTCCCTGTGCCTGCTATTCTATTTGATTTTCGCCTTTTTTTGTATTATCTTCATTTATATTTGTGACTTGATCGCTCTGATCCCTCTTTTATTCTTGTTTGCATTCATAACATTCTCCTTGAAATCCTCCTGAATAAAAAGAGTAATTTTAATCATCTGTATTTTCGTAGATATTTCAATTCAGCATCAAGAAGGTGTCAGCCGTTGCAACAGCAGTGATTATATTATCATATTTTTCAAGTATCGAGAATAATCGATATTTTATAGAAATAAGATATCTTGTTTGACTCATCTAATGTTGCACCTTCTGCTTTCAACTCTCTTAACAAATTTTCTACTTTTATGAAATAATCTTGTAAGTCATCAAACGTGCATTTTAAGTTTAATGTCCTTTTAATTATAAAAGCTTCCAAAATATACTGTTACGTTCGAAGACATCTTTTATAGTCCAAATATTTGTTGGGGATACATTAAACTGTAACATATCTTGCTTACGTGTCATTTTTAAGTTGTGCCCTAAAAATTCTTACTCTGAATTTCACAAATTATTTATTTGTATTTGTTAGTTAAGGAACAGGCAAACTTGACGAAAATTTTTTTTGATTCTTCATAATTTAACGACCTTTTACTAACTTAACTTTTCTCCTTACAGTTACATTTCTTATTTTTTACTACTTCGAAAATATTCTCTTATTGGATAGGTTAATATAAAAGTTCGATTTTCTACGGGTTTCTGTGTAATTCTGTCCAGAAAACCATGTCTTAGGGTTTTCTTAACCATAAGATGGTTTTTCTTCGGTGAAAAATGAAGGTATGTGTACACCCAGGTTTATTCAAATCAAGAATTACTTCGCTTCAAAGGAGGTGGTGACCGCACATCTTGACCCTTCTTAAATAATTAAGGAACGCTTTCTATTAATTGATTACTTGGGATGTTAACTACATATATAGGTATTAAGATGGTGTATTTATCTGACAGTTCAATATTTGCATAGCTAATTTAATTATGGGAGATTACAAAGCTATAATACACTTACAATGAATTATTTAACCAATAATATTAATAAATAATTAATGTGTAGATTGGATTCAGTAAAATATTCAGATACTAACAAGTTACAATTTTATTATCGTGTTTTTCCACCCTAATTCCCATCGTGTTACACAACGATCGGGATTTTCCGTAATTATATCACACACTACACGAACGGACGTTTCCAATTATCCAATACCAACAGATGTGATGCCATTTTCACTGTATAATTACAAATATAAAAGACAATATTTTATTGGATTTCTAGTATCAATACTATTTAGTAAATCCACCGCAATTCCAACAATATCCATAACTTTTATTATTCGCTAATACGAAGTCTGTAGTCTAATAGGAGTCGTTGTAGGTTTGCCAGGTCGTGTTAAAACCGAAATTATCCTAAAACTATCACCTATTACCGTGTGGTAAAGCTCGACGGCAAATATCTCGGGGTTGTTGAAAATACGGTTTTGGTAACGTTATCGCATTTGGCCCCACTCGTCGTGCTTAGTACACAATTGCGTTAAAGTTTCTCGCTAGAGAGAAATTGTATTCGTTAGTTTTAGAGGTCAGAGTTTGTATGTTAATTTGACGAGGGAGAAGGATCTTTACACGAAACTAAAACAAAATTTGTTACCATAACTAAATGTATTTGAAGTTTTAAGTGGATTTCGTAAAGTTCAAGATGAATGTATTAAGGATAAAAGCAACACGATTAGGTTTTGTGGTGTATACTTAGATATATTTTAAAGTTTTCGCCGAATGTATTCGTTAAGAGTTTGTATGTTAATGCGAAATGTTTGCGAGAAGTTTGGTGAATATGTTTCAAACTCAAACAGGCCCAACTGAGTATATTGAATATATGAATGAGAATGTGGGATGGAAAGTTTTTGGAAGTAATCGGTAAATAGTTGTTGAAATTTAAGGTATTCAAAAAAATTTTTAAGAATTTTAATTTAGACTATGTATTGGAGATCACGTTACTAAGAAAAGAATTTTATCGATGGAAATCGTTTTAGGTTAAAGCTTTGGCTTCATTCCAAACGCACTCAAATTGATTTTAAACGGCCATCTACCTGAAGCCAAAGCGAAATTTGCGTCGGTTACAGCAAGCACGTTGAGATGGGAAATTGGAAACGCTTCAATCGCCTTAAACGTTTTG